GTTGAGTTTGATCCACTGTGAGACAGTGGTGGTGGCCAGGACTAGATGTTGGTCATGCAGAGTTTGGTGACGATGCAGACAGTGGAATTTTGAATCAGTTAGATCTGATGGATAGTTGAATTAGTGAGACCAGCAAGGAGTGTGTCAAAAAAAAATCTAGTCAAGAGGTGACAATGTTAAGTATAATAATTCTTGCATTTGATATAGCGCCGTCACGTTGGGAAGATGTTTCAAGGCTCTCCAGAGGATTTGCTGTGGAGAGCTTTGAAACATCTGCCCAACGTGACAGTATTGTATATATATGTGACCATGTGAATGAGGGTTTTGATGGTGTTGATAGTGGCATATGCAGACAATGTGGTGAAGGTGAAGAAACGTGATATTGGTCAGGAGCAGAATATAAGAAGAGGATAGCTGTGTATTGGACTGAACTGAACACCAAGGTTATGCACTGATTCAGTGAGTTTGAGATTAAGGCTAGGAAGATTGGAAGCAAAACTTGGAAATGAGAATGCAATGGTGGAAGCTGAGAAGAATGGCTTCTGTCATCCATTTTACATCCACCCCTGGCAGTCGGGGTTCCATGCACTTTGTACCTGCTCTCTGGAACTCCATCCTGAGTCCCTCAAATTCAATTCCTCCCTCACCTCATTCAAGGTCCATATCAAGATCTATTTAATTGACTGTGCTTTCTGTCAACTTTCCCCTTCTCACCCCCATGGTTCCCACCCCAGGCTTGGATACCAAGCCAAGGGTGCGAGGAGCCTTGGAATGGCCTCCCAACGTAAAAGCCAGAAGGAAAGCTACAAGAAACTGAGGTTTATCAAGGCCTTCACATCTGACAAGCAAGCACAGACAGTGGACCTGGAATCAAAAGTGCAGAAGTGGATTTGGGTGTCATCTGCCATCCTCGTGGAAGTTAACAGTTTCTATGTATGAAGATGTCAAGAGAAAAGCATGTAAATGAGGAAAACCAATAATAAGAGTCCCAAGGTTCACTATAATAATAATCCCTCCAAAAACCCAAAACAATAATAAATTGGTCATTTTCAATCTACGACTGTTTGTGGGACATTGCTGTGCGCAATTGGCTGCCGCGTTCGCCCACAAATATACAGTCAATTCACTTTACAGTGTGTTCTGTGAAGCGCTTTGGGATGTCCTCCCGACGTGAAAAGCGCTATATCAAATGCAAGGATTATTATTATTATTATAAGTGACTCTGCATGGAAGCGGTGGGTCAAATAAGATTGGAACCAGGAATGTATGGTCCCATGGAGGAGGATGAGTGAGGAGAAGCAATTGAGGAGAATATAGCAGAACAGTATATAAAGAGGTCAAGGTGAACAAGGAGACAGAGGAAGCCCTCATGGCAGAATATGGCATTTTTGATGAGGGCTATCTCAATGCTATGGGCAGGGCAGAAGCCGGTGGAGGGACTTGTGTGAGGAAAACATGGGAGTGAAGTTCAGTCGCAAAAACCTGTTCCACATTACATCTTTATAGTAGAAAATCCCATTGGAGATAATGAACAGATCATTACTTTTAGCAAACAGGAAAAGATGGAGTCTAACAATGTCAATGGGCTATTCAGTCAAATTTCTTTGAACTATTTATATAAATATTGTGTATCAGGCTTTCACAACTTCCAGGTAAACTTGGGACTATAATAATCCTTGCATTTGATATAGCACCCTATGACATCATTGAGACCTCTCAAAGAGCATTACAGAACATACTGTAAAGTGAATTGACTGCATATTTTGTGGGCAAAACGCAGCAGTCAATTAGGACTAGTTGCCTAGAAAGATACTGCATCACTAATAGTAGTCCCTGCATTTGATGTAGTGTGAATATCAAAACATCTCAAAGTGCTTCACAGGAAACTGCAATTGCATATTTATAGATGAACAGCAATTATTATTTGCACTTGGCAATGCCCCACAAAACACATTGAAGTCAATAACCAATTTATCTGAAAGATGGTTGGCCAGGGCACTGGGAAAAATTCCCTTTTCTTCTCAAATAGTATTTTGGCATCTTTAATATCTACTTGGAACAGGCAGGCAAGATACCTGTTTAAGGGATCCAAGGGATTGCACACAGACAATGCACTGGTATTTAGCCCCAGCTCTGCACTGGGATGTCAGTCTAGACTGTTTTCAGTTCAAAGTCCCGATATGGGTTTTGAAAGCAAAACCCAGAAGCAAGAGTGCTTACCAACTATGCCAAGCTGACACCTTATATTTCTGAAGAAAGACGTAAAGTTTAACATTATTTATTCCTCACTGTTGGAATTTTTTATTTCATACTTTTTATTTCACACTAGTACTGTATCTTATCATGCACACCCAAAACCCAGTGGTGGAGTCTGACGCCAAGCCAGAGGGAGAGGGAGGTGACCGTAAGCACGATCAAAATTGGAGGTTGTTAGGCAGGATTTGAAGGTGGGGAAGGAGGGGACGAGGAGGAGGGATTGAGGGAGAGTGTTACAGAGCATTGGGGAGTAGTGGTTGAAGGCACGGCCACTGATGGTGGAGCGGAGGGGATGAGGGACAAACAGGAGGTCGAAGCCATCCGAACAGAGTCAGCATGTAGTGGAGTAGGGAGTAAGCAGATCGCGTAGGTAGGGAGGTGCCAGGGCATGAAGGGATTTGAAAACGAGTGAGAGGGTCTTGAAATCGATCCGTTCAGTGATTGGGAGCCAGTGGAGCCTGGCAAGCATTGGTGTGATGGAGGTACGGCGTTTTGTCCGGGTAACTATCGGGCGGTGGAGTTTGAAATGAATTGTATTTTGCAGCTGGGGAGACCAGCGAGGAGGGCATTGGAATAGTCCAGCCAGGAAGTGACAAAGGCATGGACGAAGATTTTGGCTGTGTTGGTTGTGAGGTAGACAGAGGCAGGCAATGGGACAGAGATGGTAAAAAGATGTCCTGGTCAGGGAACGATGTGGGGTAGAAAGAAAAGCTGGGGTTCAAACCTGATGCCTAAATTACGCATGGGTTCGATGAGTCTGAGGGAGAGCCCCGATAGTTTGAGGAGTTCAGACCCTCAGAAGAGCCAAAGAGTATGGCTTCTGTCTTGCCGACATTCAGCTGCAGGAAATTTGTGCTCATCCAGGCCTTAATGTCCATCAAACAAGCTGACAGGACATCAGCGGAATGGGAGTCACAGCTTGAGGAGGAGAAGTAGATTTGGGTGTCACCTGCATACAAGAAGTTGACCTCATGTCTGTGGATGACATTGCTGAGAGGGAGCATGTAGATAAGGAAAAGCAGGGGACCAAGGATGGAGCCCAAGTGACCAGCGGGGGCAGGAAGAAAAACATTTGCCGAGATGTATTGTTGTCAGTTTGTTAAGTAGGACTCAAACTATGCGAGTGCAATTCCACTAAGGTGGATGAGGGAGGAGAGGTGGTGGAGGAGGATGGCGTGGTCGGCTGTGTCGAAAGCAGCGGAGAGGTCCAGGAGAACAAGGAAGCAAAGGGAGCACTGGTCACATAGAAAGAGGCTGTAATTAATTACTTTGCATAGGAAATAATATAGAAAATATTTATAATGGCCCCAGTTTCCACCACTTCCTTTGAATTAGTTTTTTTAAAAGACTAAAAGTCACTTTCAAAATAGTACATTTCAGATGCATGGTACAGACCCATTGAAGGGGAGGCTAGATATGCATATGAGGGTGAAGGGAATAAAAGGGAGTGAGGAATGGGTGGAGACTCATAGAGTATAAACACCAGCATCGACCAGTTGCGTCAAATGGACTGATTCTGTGAGGTACAATCTATATAAAACTATTTAGATATTAAGCATCAGACACTTTTTCTATCCGGCAGGAGAAACAGAACAAAAGCAAATGGCACAGGGGAGGATTCCATGAGGAGAACAACAGAAGCCTGAGGGTGAAAAAAACACAGAATGTAACAAAAGAAGCAAAATCCCATTTAATGGATTTTCTTCACTGGCCCATGATTTGTGGGACATTGCTGTGCGCAGCTGGCTGCAACGTTTCGCCCACAAATATACAGTTGATTCACTTTGCAGTATGTTCTGTGAAGCGCTTTGGGACGTCCTCCCGACGTGAAAAGCGCTATATCAAATGCAAGGATTATTATTATTATTATTATCTCAAAGATGCGATAAGGCACGACATCAATTGCAAGGATTATTATTATTGATTATATTCTGATAGGGAAACATCAAAATCAGAGGACCCATGTCAAAGATGCATGATTATGCATGCCATACCAGAAGTCAACACCAGAGATATTTCTAATCATAAGCTCAAAGTACTAACCAGATAATATTTATATGATTTTAGTTAATACTATAACCCTGAGACAGAATTTATATAGGTGGGACCAGACTTTTTATTATAAAATAATCTTCACAACAATATTGTCGTTGCTTCATGAAACCCAAAAAAGTTATTGCTATATGGGTCAATTTTCGAAATAGGATAACGAAACACCAAATTCACCAGGAATAATAATTGTAACACTTCCGTCGCATGGCAAGGAGGGAACAACACATTCCAAAGAGAACGACCACACGGTATTGAAAATAAAGTACGGATTTTATCCCCTTTACGCTGCGTTGCGACTAACATTCACTTCCGCAAAAGCAGTAAAGGCAATCGTTAGTGATCGGTCAGGTTCCCTGGATAACACAGGTGACAAGAGGGGCAAATGCGGGGGGAGGGGTGGGGGAGGGGGGGGGGGGGGGAGCGACTTGTGTGCTTTTATTTGCATGGAAGAAAGTAACGTGAATTATAATAATAGGCACACGAGCCCCAGTGCTCTTGCGTCAGCTTCGTTATAGAGACATGGGCTTCGCTGCAATGGAGCAGCAGCAGCGGCGGCAGCAGCAGGTCCAGGCGGGGCCTAGAGACACAGCAGCAGCAGCTCTGACTCGTCCTTCTCTACCTCCTCGGACACCTTGGTTTTTTTCTCCTGTTATATAACCACAGCCTCGGGCCGCTGACAGCTCGGTACTCACTTGTCCTCATTCTTGCTTTTCTGTTTCTTCCCCATGTCGTCGGCGCTGTCTTTTTGGCTTCTCCTCTCACTCTTTAAAATCTCTTCTCGACATATGGTAGCCCGCTGGATGTGCGCCTGCGCAGCCTCGGACCTTCTCCCCCCTCCCAGCGATCGCGCAAGGGCACGTGGCGGCGCAGTGACGCGCCCCGAGGTCGCGACCGCGATTGGTCGCCAAGGCAACCGATAGCCGTCGGCCCCGCACGTCAATCAGTTCCTGCGGCGGCGCGAGGCTAAAGGGGAGGCGGCGCAGGAGCAAGACAGCGGCTGGAGGAGTAGAGGTGGGGTCCCCGCAGTTCATGCAATGAATTGATAGTGGTGCTTCTGGTCGTGTGGATAATTCACATTCTATGCAGTGAATGCACAACACGTCAAGCAATTTGAAGCAGAGATACTGGAACGCAGAGCTCACTTGGTCGCTCAGGCCAGGCCAGGCTTGCTCTGCCAGAGAGGTGATCCGGTCACCTGACTTGCTTCGCTTGTTGTGAAAATACAATAATAATCATTTTTGCATTTGATGTAGTGCCTTATTGCATCTTTGAGTTGTCTCAAAGTGCTTCACAGAATATACTGTAAAGTGATACAACACAGAAATTGCTGGGAACATGCAGCAGATCAGCAGAGGAAATTTTTTCATCCATGGAGAAAGGAAAACATTTCTTTCCCTATGGATGCTGCCTGACCTGCTGCATGCTCCCAGCAACTTCTGTGTTTATACCAGATTTCCCAGCATGTTTACCTTTTGTATAGTGCAAAGTGAAGACTGTATATTTTGTGGGCAAAATGAGGTAGCCAATTGTGCATAGCAGTGTCCCACAAACAATCATGGATTGAAGTGACCCAATTTATTTTTAAATTTATTTTGATGAAGGAACTATTACCCCCGGAAAAACAATCTGCCAATTGACTAACAACTGGGTTCCTACTTACTGCTAGGTAAACAGGCATGGGAGGAAGGAAGCTCGCCCAATGTTTTGACCTGCCAGGAATTGAACCCAGGTCCTCTCTCTTGCGAGGCGGTGCTCTAACCGCTGAGCTACAGGACTCCACATTGTCCATTGACACAGACATGGAAATCCCGATGGGTAGGTGACATATGTGGAACTCTTAATAGGTTTCTGCATTTCTCATCAAGCAAACCAAAATAAAAGTTTAAATAACTGCTCTCCTTACTGTGGCAAGAATATGAATTTGACTATAATTTTATGTTTCATTTTTCTTGCCTTATAACTTGTACCTTTCCTGAAATTTAGTTTCAATTCCAGTACATAGTGGTGGGAAATAAATTATGTTTGCTGGTTGTTTTGAACCTTGTGGACAGAAACTCAAAGTAGAAAACTGGCCTGAAACTTTCAATAGATGGTGTGTGGATAAAATTATGGTGCAAAATCTTTATTTTTTCAAATAGTACCATGGTATCTGTAACGTTAATCTAAACAGGAAAAGATGGGGCATCAGTTTCTCTCTATCTTAAGGATGACTTCTCCAATAATAGGGCACCTTCATGATGTATTGGAATATCAGCCTACATTGTGAATTCAAAGAAGTAACAATAGGGATACATGTTCAATATCAACTTGCATTTATGTAGCATCTTTCACACAGGATAAATTCTCAGAGCACTTCTAAAAGATTGGTGGGGAGCCAAGTGAGTGGGAAATAACTAGATATAGTCGAAGACGCAGGATTTTAGATGGGATTTAAATATGGCTAGAAAGGGGTAGGGGGCGGCGGCAGACAGTGAGGTGGATAATAATAATCCTTGCATTTGATATACCGCCTTATCACGTCTTTGAGTCTCACAAAATATACTGTAAAATGAATTGACTGTATATTTTGTGGGCGAAGCGTGGCAGCCAATGGCACACAGCAGTGTCCCACAAACAGTCGTGGGTTAAGTGACCTAATTATTTTTATTTATTTTGAAAGGGTTATTACCCGCGGAAAAGCGATCTGCCAATTGACTAACAACCGGGTTCCTACTTACTGCTAGGTTAACAGAGGCATGTGGAGTAAGGAATTTGTCCAACGTTTGACCCTACCAGAAATGAAACCCATGTTCGCTAGCTTGCGAGGTGAGTGCTCTAACTAGTACTACTACTGAGCTCCACAAGCTAGATGAACTAGATATGGTTATGAGCGTAATTGCTGAAGGCTCAGCCCTTTTTAGTAATGGACGGGGGAAAGAAGACCAAAATTGACTGAGTGGAGACTGCAAGCAGAAGAAAGTCATAGATATAGGGAGGTGCTAGGATGTTGAGGGATTTATAGGTAAGGGTAATAATTTAGAAGTTGATCCATTGGGAGTCAGGGAGACAGTGAAGCCTTGTGAGGACTGGAGTGATGGTAATGTGCATGCAGAGTTTGATGTGGGTGAGATCAGAACACGGGACTTGTTTAAAAATCATATGATGAGATCAAATGGCCTTAGAACCATGGAATTTATTTCAGTATTAAAGGCCATTCGGCCCATTGTGTCTGTACCAGCTCTAAGAGCAGTACTTTAAGTCCCATTTGTCAGCTTTTTTCACCCATAACCTGTCATTGACTAATTTTTAGGTATTTATTTAGTTCCCTTTTGAAAGCCAATATGGATTCTGCTTCAATCACTGCTTCTGACAGGGTATTCCATATCCTAACCACTGTGTGGAACAAAATTCTCCTAACCTCCCCATTTTCTTATTTATAACAACAAAATTACATTTATAGAGCGCCTTTCATGTTGGGAGAACGTCCCAAAGCGCCAAACAGTTAGGTGTCGGGGTCCAAGCATGAGGGAGGGGTGGGGGGTGTAGGGGTGAGGGAAGGCAGAGAGGTGAGAGGGCGACCAAAGTTTACTAATTTTTAAATAGATATGTTCTGGTCACTGACTCACAGACCAGTGGAAATAATTTCTTCCTATTTACTATCAACTCCCCCAGAATTTTAAAGAACTCTTATCAGGTCACCTCTCAACCTTTTCTTCAATGTAAAAATTCCTGGTTCTACCAGTCACCGTTCATAGGCTAAACCAATCATCCTGGTATCAATCCTAGTAAACCTCCTCTGCACCTGCTCTATCGCCTTGACATCTTTCCTAATGTGGGGTGACCACATTTGTTTCGCCCACAAAATAATCAGTCAGTTCACTTTACAGCGTATTTTGTGAAGTGCTTTGAGGCGTCTCGAAGACATGATAAGGCTCTATATCAACTGCAAGGATTATATATATTATGACCAATACAGGACATAATATTCCAACTGAGGTCTAATTAACGATTTATGTAAGTTTAGCATTACCTCTTTGGTTTTATATTTTATGCTCCTATTTATAAATACGTCTTTGTCCTAACCCTTGTGAATTGTAGAGTCCCCAAATGCTGTTCTGGCTGGTCTCACCTAACTAGGCAACAGACTAGGATTTGAATCAAATCCAAGAATCATAAAGACCACAACAACTTGCGTAGTTGGGATGCATGGAATTTCTGTTTGGTTTGGATACTCTTAAGTATGGTGATGGGTTTCCACATGTGCCAGTCACCCAGTTGACCCCCCCACAGTATAGCCCCTTTCATGAGGGGCCGTGTCTCAGAGCGCTGTAGCACATGCTCTTTGGGGCATTACGCATGAGCAAACTTGCCATATTCATTTCTGGGATTTAGCTAGCGGATCTGTTGCATAGGTTCTTAGTAACTGTCTGTCCAGCGCCTTGGGACGTCCTCTCGACGTGAAAGGCAATATTACAAATGTAATCTTGTTGTTGTTGATAGTAAATCCAATGGTGCAGCTGCTAAACCGTAGCAGATTACCTTTGCTATTCCCTTGCAATCTTAAATTGTTAATGGTTAAATGTTTTGGTTTGGGGGGGAAGGGTTATTTTTAGACTGAAATATTTTATCTTTTTTTAAACAGTATCTTCCTGTTGCAGCTTTGCTTGCAACCAAAGGATCCAATATGGAATGTAGATTGACACACAGACGGACAGACATTTTGTCTTTATCTAACACTCAGTAGGAGGACTCCTGGTTGGGAGGTCTCCTTGTTGGAGTGCATACATGTGTGATGAGCTTCTAGGTCATAGCTTTTCTCTGCAGCTACTTTGCTGCAAGCGAGACACCTGGGTTCAATTCCAGTCAGGGCGAAACCTTGGGCAAGTTTCCTTACTCCACACACCTAATAATAATCCCTCCAAAACAAAACATTGATAAATTGGTCATTTTCAATCCACGACTGTTTGTGGGACATTGCTGTGCGCAATTGGCTGCCGCGTTCGCCCACAAATATACAGTCAATTTACTTTACAGTGTGTTCTGTGAAGCGCTTTGGGACGTCCTCCCGACGTGAAAAGCGCTATATCAAATGCAAGGATTATTATTATTATTATTCTGTGAAGTGCTTTGAGACGTCTAAGACGTGAAAAGCGCTATATCAAATGCAAGGATTATTATTAGAATACATTAGTATAGATGTATCTCTCTAGAAGGGTGTGTGATTTCCTCTGTCACTACTTTGTTGCAGAATACCATGCGTACCTTATATTGTGGGGCTTAATTAAAGCATTTTTTTAAATATAGGTCATCAACGATAGGAGATCCCTGAAAAAATACGCCCACGACACTCCTCATACAAGACCTTTCTGATGAGGTATAAATAATGCCTCTACGGGTATTGTGTTCTCGGCGAACAGGCGCAAACACACAGATATGTTGTCTTTATTAGTATAGATGGATAATATTAATATACCTTGCATTTGATTATCAAACATTTGAGACATCTCAAAGCACTTCACAAACATTATTGTAAAGTGAATCGACCGTGCATTTTGCGGGTGAAAAATTAAACCCCCCCCCCCAAAAAAAAATGTCGTTGAATTGAGTTCGAATGGATGAATGTCACCGGGAGAGCGCAAAATAACGAACGGAACGGTGCACAACAGCTGCCGCCGAGTCCTTTCCTGGTGACGGTGAGTTGAAGATGGCGCTGCGGGTCGCTAAGGAAGTCGGCGGTTGTGACCTTTACACCCGCTCGCGCTTGTGGGTGATTTTCAAACGTGTGACGCTGAGCGAGCGAGCGCGCGGGCGGGCGGGCGCGAGCGGAAGCGAGGAGTAACGGCGAGAAACGGCGCGTGAGAGCGGTGAGTGTGTGGGGGCGCTGCCCGGTCAGCGATAAGCGAGGGTCTCCCCAAAACAGAGAGCGGGGCTTGTCCCGAGCTGAGGCCTGAGGTGGTCGGTCGGCTGCGGTCCCGTGGTTGCCGGACTCCCAAGGAACGGGCCGAGGCTGCCGCAGGAGGGCGGCGTCGAGCGGTTAAAGTGAAGCCGCTTTGTTGTACGACGTCTTCCTGCGTTATCTTTCCCCCATTGGGGCCTTCGGTTGCAATCTGTATAACTCATTGGATTGGACTCATTTTGTCCCCTCCCCTGCGCTTTGTATTTAAACGTCCTCTTAACGCCGGCGCCTCTTACTGCGCGATTTGGTCCGTTTTGCACTGGTGCGAAGTCCCGTAACAGCTTAATCCCGAGTCAGAAGGGCCGCACCCTGATAAAGGCTGAGGCCATAAGGATTGGAAGTAGGTAAAAAATACTCTTCTGCCTTCGAAAACGGTCACCAAACTTGACAGGAATTTCTTGTGTTAGTGGGTTGAGGCTGATCTGTGGGAAAACCGTCTCCGTTTTGTGATTAGGGACCTGAGAGTGTGAATTGCTGATGATCCCTTTTTTGAGATGGATTTGCTGTTTTTCTGGCATTAGTTCTGTTGGGTAAGCAGCGGGAAAGGTTGGCAGACAAGTTGCATAATCAATGGCAAGCTATCTGGTTTTACCTGGTCGGACTCCAGCAGTACCCTAATAATAATAATAATAATCCCTCCAAAACCAAAAACAATAATAAATTGGTCATTTTCAATCTACGACTGTTTATGGGACATTGCTGTGCGCAATTGGCTGCCGCGTTCGCCCACAAATATACAGTCAATTCACTTTACAGTGTGTTCTGTGAAGCGCTTTGGGACGTCCTCCCGACGTGAAAAGCGCTATATCAAATGCAAGGATTATTATTATTATTATTACCCCAGTACACACTCTAGAGTCCCCAAGCTTGGCTCTTGTCAACTTGTGCCTAATACTTTCCAGAATTGGGTGTGCAGCGGGCGACCCTCCAAGCGAGAGAGTGCACATCCCATTCCAACAAATATAGTATCTGGAATTTATATGTATAGGTGGGATGCATGGAACTCTGTTTGGTTTGGATATTCTTGGTGGTAGGTTTACGCATGTGCCTGATATTATTAGAAATAAATTAACACTAAATATATTGAATTTAATGAATACGTTTGCCTGTTCTGCATTTTTCTTTAGGAATTTTATAAAGTGCAATCGTAAATCAGAATAATGGCGGGTAACCCTTCAATGGCCATGCTCAGTAAAGTCCTTGAGCAACAAATGCTACAGACAACAGAGATGGTTGAACAGCAGTTGGATTCTGAGATTGGGAAACTGGATAATATGGATGAGGATGAACTGGATAAACTCAGAACGAAGAGACTTGAAGCAATGAAAAAAGCACAGCTGCAAAAACAGGTAGAATTTTATGTATACTGGAGAACCAATCAGATAATTTACTGTAATAAGCTGTCAGATTCTCAATGTTCAATTATGCTTGTTGTACAGATTTGATGGGGAATTGCATGTTAGCTTCATTCAGTTTTTTTTATAATTTTACTGTACTATCTGTGGGAGGAACTAGCCTTTATGTTGTATGTTAACTGCTACTGCTTGAATTCCTCATCTACACCACCACCAAAAATTACATTTGTATAGTGCCTTTCGTGTTGGGAGAATGTCGCAAGGCACTGGACAATCAATGTTTCGGACCCGAGCTGGGGGTCGTGATCGGGGAGGTGGCGAAGGAGGGTAACCAAAGGCACGGTCCAAGAGGAGGGTCTTGAGATGCATCTTGAAGGAGGCAAGGGAGGGGGCGAAGCAGAGGAACTGCGGGATGCAGATCCAGGTAGTGGGGGCAGAGTGGCTGAAGGCCCACTTGCCAATGGCGGGGTGGAGGAGACAGTGGACATGAAGCAGGCTGGAGTCCGCTGAGCGGAGGGAGCAGGCAGGTTAGTAGGGAGTTAGGAGGTGCAGAGGTAGGGGGGAGCAAGGCCATGGAGGACTTTGAAAGTGAGGGCCAGGGTCTTGAACTGTATCCTCTGTGTGAAGGGAAGCCAGTGGAGTTGGGTGAGGATGGGGGTGATAGGGTTGCAGAGCCTGGTGCGGGCGAGGACACAGACTGCAGAGTTCTGGATGATCTGCAGCCTATGGAGAGAGGAGTTGGGAAAGACGACAAGCAAGGAGTTTGCGTAGTTGTGCTTGGATGTTATGAATGTGTGTATGAGGCGGCCTGCGGTGTGATAGAGGCGGAGCTGGACAATATTTCTGAGGTGGGGAAAGACAGAGCAGGTCATGTCACGGATGTGGGTATGAAAGACGGTTGAGGGTCGAACAGGACCCGAGGTTCCTTATTGGCTTTATGGGATGTAGAGTGCATCCATGAAGGGGAATGCTGTCAGCGCCTGAGATATGGAGTTACTGATGGGAGCCGAGCAGGAGGGCCTCGGTCTTGTTGACATTCAACTGCAGGACGTTAGCTCTCATCGAGGACTTGATGTCCAACAGACAGTCTGTGAGGACCGCAGTGGTTCTGGAATCGAGGGTGGAAGCAAAGAGGTAGAAGTTGGGTGTCATCCGCTTACATATGGAAGTTGATCCCAGGTCTGTGGATGATGTCACCAAGGGGGAGCATATGGATATTGAAAAGGGAAGGGCCAAGGACAGAGCCCTGAGGAATGCCACACGTGACAGTGCAGGGGCTGGAGGAGAAGCTGTTAGTGGCGACAAAATGGAGACAGTGGGGAGAGTAGGATTCGAACCAGACGAGGGCAGGTCTGCGAAGGTTGAGCTGAGAGGAGAGGTGATGGAGGAGGATAGAATGGTCAGCAGTGTCAAAGGCAGCAGAGAGGTCAAGGAGGCAGAGAGAGCCCTAGAGGCAGAGAGAGCCCTAGCCACAGATGTTCAGAAGGTCATTAGTGACTTTGACCAGGGCTGTTTGGAAACCTGATTGGAGGGTTTTAAAGAGGAAATGATGGAAAGGAAAGAACGAAGCTGGGACGCAACAACTTGTTCCAGGGCCTTGGAGAGCATTGGTAGGTTGGAGAGTATGGATGGGTCCAGGGATTTTTTAAAAAAAAGTGGGGGTGATGACAGCTGTTTTTAGGGATGGGAACAGTAGCAGTGGATAGGAAAAGGTTGATGATATCGGTTAAAAGGGGTGAGGAGAGGGTTGGGGATGGGGTTGAGGGAGCAGGTGGTGATCTTCATTTTTGAGATGATGGAGGTGAGGGAAGAGGGGGAGACGGTTGAACCTGCGTAGGGAGGGATGGATGGGGGCTGGGACGTGAAGGGGAGGTGGCAAGGAGGTAGTGATGGACGGGGGAGAGGTAGATGAACGAATCCCCTTGGGTTTGGATTTGAGGAAGTCCAACATCTCCTCGCAGTTGGAATTGGAGGAGAAGATGGATGAGGCACGGGAAAGATGGATGGAATGGTCGGTTAGTGGTGGAGAAGAGGAGCCTGGGATTGTCCTTGGCCTCCAAGATTATCTTGAACTAAAAGGTTGATTTGGCGAGGGCAGAGCGGTAGGTCTTAGTGTGGTCAAGCCAGATCTGCCGATGGACCATTTGATTTGGTCCAGGTGTGTTCGGTGGCCACACTTGTGCCTTGAGGGATTGGAGTTGGCTGGTGTACCAGGGGAATTTACCAGATTGAGGAGGGTAGGTCACTGAGAGGAGGGCCAGAGGAGCAGGAATTTGGATGACTCCAGGACAGCAGAGAGGTAGTGGGGGGGAGATTTTTTTCCAAGAGCGGTAGGTGATAGAAGTGGGTTGAGGGGGGGCGAAGGGGGATGGGGGTGTTAAGGGAAATGAAGTGGTGGTCTGAGTGGCTTTATCGGTGATGTCTGAGGTAGTGAGGCCCCGGGTGAGGAGGAGTTCGGAGCAGAGGGAGAACGAAAATAGGGGGGTGGAGATGTCGAGGAGAAATGTGGGGCTGGGTTTGGTGGCGCGATAAATAAGGACAATTTTGAGGGAGAGGTTGGAGGGGTGGTGAAGGGTAAGGTGCTCAAAGGAGGGGAAGGATCTAGAGGAGTATGGGGATAGGCCAAGTGGGGATCTGGAGATGAGAGTCACGCCGCCACCACATCAGTTAAGTTGTGGGATATAATGGAAGGTCTACCCAGGTGGTGTGGCCTCTTATCAGGGTGAAGGTGTCTCCTGGAGAGACCTAGGTTTCGGTGAGGGCGAGGATGTCGATGTTTTCAGAAATTACAGTAGAAATCTCCAGTATTGCAACTCTGAAATATTGTTTTTTAAATGATTATGGAAACATTTTTTTAATGCAGTTAATTCACTTGCATTTATTTTCCAGCTTGAGGTAATAATGATTATGGATCTGTTTGTCATATTTACTTAACTTTTAGTCCAATGTTTCTTTTTTGCAGGAGTGGCTTACTAAGGGTCATGGTGAATACAGGGAGATCCCTAGTGAAAAAGACTTCTTCCAAGAGGTTAAAGAGAGTAAAAATGTGGTTTGTCACTTCTACAAGGACACCACATTTAGGTAAGATATTGTGGGGGGGGCGGGGGTATACACAAAATAATTGGGCATTCAGTCTAGTAGGGCAATACAGCCTTCATTCTGTGGGAAATGTGAGTAAAATTCCTAGCTTTAGGGCAAAAGTTATTTTATGTGTATGACAGAATTATGTTTGCTTTTTTGTTTCTTGAGCTAAAGGAAACTAATCACCCACTCATAAATGAGAATAAAACACTTGTTTGGTTAAAGAACTAGTTATTTAGTTAGAGAATAATGAAAGTGACCTGAAACTAATCAGATGCAGATGATTAATAGTATGATAGTATTGGTAAATTGTAAGTTTCTTTGGTTCTCATCTTCTCAAATCTGGAAAGTGATTCTAGGAAAATTGGCAAGTAGAGTTTTGCAGGTCTGATTAGAAGCTATTTAGCAGTTAGAGCAACCGGGAAATGGCATTTTGTGTAATGTGCAGAAGACCAACGTCTCATTTTTGGAGGTCGCAGAATGAAATGAAAACAAGACACTGAAACATTCAAAAAGCATGTGGTGCTGTCTTCTCCACCCTCGCCATAGCAATTGTGATATGTTGGTTAGATGCATACCACAACCAAAGTTGTATATCATTATCAATTAATGTTGAGGCTTTCAAAAAAAAAATGTTGGGATGCAGAAAGAGTTCTCTACCTAGACATTACCATTGACTGGAATAGATTTCCCAGGTTCTGCAAAGCAGAATTTGATTGCTTTCTCAGCTTCACCACAAAGAATCCTGATGCCAGCCTTGGTGAATATTGGGTTTAATGATCCCCTGATATTTGCCAAACTTGATTTACACCAGACTAGCTTTCCCCCTTTAGTTCTGGTGCCCATCCTGTAGTTACTCGAGGAGTAGTAGTAGGACGCTGTCTATTCATATGCCAGCTATCCACCTATTAACTTACCTGTATCAGTCTGATGCAGCAGTGGACACCAGCAAAAGAATGTGCATATACTGAAGTTCTCTCCTGCACCAGACTCCGTGACCCTATCACCCCCATCCTTGCCCAACTCCACTGGCTTCCAATCACACAGAGGATACAGTTCAAGATCCTGGTCCTCATCTTCAAAGCCCTCCATGGCCTTGCTCCCCCCTCCCTCTGCAACCTCCAAACTGCCCGCTTCCTTCGCTCAGCTCCGGCCTGCTTCACGTCCCCCAACTTGCCCGCCCCACCTTCGGCGGGCGAGCCTTCAGCCACTCTGCCCCCACCCTCTGGAACTCCATCCCACCCCTCCGCCTGAACTTGCAACACAAGGTATGTAGTCATTTAGCAATTTATTACAGCTTAATGTATTAATAGACTAGGATAGTCAGGATTAGGGAGGAGAGAGAGAAATAGACTGAGAAAATCTGGCATAGTGTATAGCACTATATTAACCGTATCATACATTTTGGTTAGTACTGTAGCTACTTTGTGTTATGTGTGATGACTCATATTTATGCACTGTTTTGATATCCACCATGGGACCAGTCCCAATTCATGCAGATTAATGAGCACTATAATGTACTACATAATAATAATAATAATCCTTGCATTTGATATAGCGCTTTTCACATCGGGAGGACGTCCCAAAGCGCTTCACAGAACACACTGTAAAGTGAATTGACTGTATATTTGTGGGCGAACGCGGCAGCCAATTGCGCACAGCAATGTCCCACAAACAGTCGTAGATTGAAAATGACCAATTTATTATTGTTTTTGGTTTTGGAGGGATTATTATTAGGCATGTGGAGTAAGGAAACTTGCCCAAGGTTTCGCCCTGCCTGAATTGAACTCAGGTCTCTCGCTTGCAAAGCGAGAGACCTGAGTTCAATGAAGGGTGATATTTCAATGAAGGGTGTGGAGTTCTGCAGCTTAGTGGTTAGAGCACTCACAACCGAGAGGATCTGGATTTGATTCATGGCAGGGCGAAACCTTGGGCAAGTTTCCTTACTTGACATGCCTCTGTTTACCTAGCAGTAAGTAGGAACCCGTTTGTCAGTCGGCCGGCGGATCACTTTTCCATGGGTAATAATCCCTTCAAAGAAAACATCAAGGAGCACCAGAGAGAGAACAAGCCTAAGTGTCAGTTCCTGATCTGTGTTTGTGATCGTGTCCATGAACACTAGAGAATTGTCATTTTATATTTTTTACGCTGGTTAAAAGCACATCTGAGGTTGAAATGCTCTTTGTGTATTCTTTACAAAGAGCTGGAATGGATTTTCCCCCAATCACTTGTTGGTAGCATTTGGCTGCCACGTTTCGCCCACAAAATATAGTCAATTAATTTTACAGTATATGTGAGCGTTTTAAGACGTATTGAAGATATGGAAAGGTGCTATATCAAATGCAAGGATTATTATTAAATAACATTTTTTTATGTGTATATGAAGAAAGTAATCCTTGCAATTCTAATATCCTCTTTTCTTCCACAGGTGCAAGATAGTAGACAAGCACTTGGCCATTTTGTCTAAAAAACATGTGGAAACCAAGTTCATTAAATTAAATGTGGAAAAGGCTCCCTTCCTTTGTGAGAGATTACGAATCAAAATTATTCCAACATTAGCTTTGGTAAAAGATGGAAAGACTAAAGATTATATCGTTGGGTTTGATGATCTTGGCTGCACAGATAATTTTACTACTGAGACCTTGGAATGGCGGTTGGGTTGTTCTGGCATCATTAACTACAGGTAATTTCACTTATTGATTTCTGGTGTACTTTGATGCAGGGAGATCCTGTTATTAAGTGCCTTGCTGGAGTGTGAGTTCACTTGAAATGTAGGTTATAATATTAAAGGCTTAAAATTTCAGCGCCTTGGGACATCCTCCCGACGTGAAAGGCGCTCTATAAATGCAATCTTGTTGTTGTTGTAGGTCTTCTATGAACCCAGTTACCAGAAATGTGGTACATTTCTCGTTTCCTTCACGTGAATCCACAACTGTTTTTTAAGTGTGTCTGGCATGAGAAATGCTTGCAAGAATGGATGTGACTGGCTGGCTTGCTTCCTGTGTGCACATGCAGGAAGTGACTCTAACGACCACCTAATGAACTAAAAGGGGGCTAGCAGGCATATTTATTTACTGATCCATTATAACACGGTGTCTATATTTTGGGTACAAAACCTTAGTAATTGAGTTGCTCAGTAGATATTTATTTTAATATTTGAAACAAAATGAAATTCATGAATACTATTTTTAAATAATAATACTTGCATTTGATATAGTGCCTTACCACGTCTTCGAGACATCTCAAAGCGCTTCACGGAATGAGAACTCTTGCAACTGATCTCTTGGAAAGCTGGCGTATTTCTTTACATGACATATCTAGTTTTAATCTGCCGATTGATATTTGGAGTACTTTGTATCTAATCTTTGAGATTCTTGTGCAATTCCTTGCCTGACTCGTTTCCTTTTGTAGCCTAGGCAAATTCTAGCAAATGGTAAATGACAGTTTCCGCATAATGGATTTATATTTAAGAAAAAGCCATCTAACTAAACTCTGAATATCTTTGTTCATAGTGGAAATTTGATGGAACCACCGTACACAACGCAAAGAAAAAGTGGAAGAATCGCAAAGATGGAGAAAGGGTCAATTAGAGGAAAGATGTATGATTCTGATTCAGATGAAGACTAGAAGCAGCTATGAGCGTATAATTGGTTCATTCCTTTCGTGTAATTTAAATTCTTGTAGCCAGTCTCTCTTCCTTTCCTGTTCTTTACCTATTTAAGATGCCACTCCATTTAATTGTAAGGTTGCCGTGCCATTTAATAAGATCATGGCTCATCTTCTAACCTAATTCAATTTACCACCATATCCCTTAATCCCTCTATCCTTTAGTTTTTGTACAGATTTAATAAATACTAATGTGCTGTGTGAAAATAGCTTGTAGAACACTGATTAATGCTTAAGTTTTGTTTTAGAAAGGGTAGTTGAACACAGTACACCCACTAGAAATTAGTGCGGTGATCCGAAATAAACACAAGATCAAATCTTTGTGCGAGTCTGGAAATTAACCTATTTTACTGATAATGCATTACAACCTATTTTTGTACATCAGATGGACTATAATACAGATCACTGGTAGCTGAACACTGTACTAACAGATTTTTTAAATATTCACTAAACCTAGTAATAAACATCAAAGATTCACAAGAATCAAATACTCCATTTTGAGTAACACTGAACCATACAGGCCAGTAAGGACTATGTTCTGCTGAATGAAATCTCAACTGAGATCAGATGAGGTGGAATTGGAGAATGGTGTCTCAGTATCTTTCAGGAAGGGTGAGAGAAATGCCAGGGTTTGTACTCCTGATTGCTATCCAATGCCCTTGCTGGAAATGCAAGCACTTGATGGGATTGGACTCAGATGTGATGGGACATATAACCTGATGCTTGCTGCATTGGCTGCCATGTGAAGAATAACTTTTCAGCAAGGTTGTGGAAGTGACTGGCATCTAGAATCGCAATCCTGTGTAAGGAACCAACAAATAGAGAGGAAAATTTTGATATTATGTTTATCAGTGTGATAGTCTTCTTACCCCAACCCCTAAATGCATTTTTCATTAAAACATCTTTTAGAAATCCCAATTCTCACTGAGTAGTTAATGCATGAAACTGACAAAATCTAATGTCATAAAAGAATGAAAGGGAGTGGTGCGGCATACTGGTGCTACATTCTAGTGCATGAAATGAAGGGGGGATACAGGTTAGTTTTTTTTTCCCCCCTTTCCTCCTATTGTGCTGAATTTCTCATCTGCAGGAAAGAGGCATCTCCCTGCAATGGGGATGTCAAGCTCACCTGTGGCACCCTCCACAGTTGTTGATAGTCTATCTGGACTCATTCCCTGGCTTACTCAATTTGTTCAAGATATGTCTTGAGATGTAGGTTTGAGCTTGTAGTCATCGTTCCTCTCCCCAACCCCTTTGCCTTCCAATTGTATTGCCTCAAGGCTCGCACAAACAATGGCGGGGTGCTGGAGGGCAGCTAGGGTCTATAGAACCAACTCCAGCAAGATGCCAAACGAAGATCAGAGAGGCATATGCTAGTGGGGGTGAAAAATCAGAAACAAAAGAAAATGGAAAATAGCACAAAGTGAAATTTTTATTTCAAAGTTACAAGAGCCGGACTCGAACCGCAGCTATGATTCAATTGTTTTTTCCTCGAGTGGCAGCAGTTGCTGTCTTATAATCAATTCCCCTTTGCTGTTCAGATAAGTAGCTGCTAGTTTCTCCTCTGTCGGAAGCCCCTGTGGTAATTTCAGGGGTTGTATGCTGCAAAATATATTGAAATATTTAGCATTCATGAAATCAAAGGCATATTGTTTTTAAAATTTCCAGTGAAGATTAAATTCAAAATTAATATTCACCAACCTTATAAGATGCTTAATAATTTTTAGCTTTTGGTTAACTGATGGAATGTTCTTATGAATCCGTGGTTGATTTGACTGGTAAAAGAAACAAAACATTTTGTTACTCTCTCCCCATAGGCCACTGAGACCCCTATCTTTTATCATATCCAGGCTGACTCCACCAATGCTCTGTATATGGACTGCCCAGCTCTTCCCTCCACCAGTTGCAGACTACCCAGAAGTTTGCAGCCAGTGTCCTCTCCTGAACCAGGGTCTGTGAGCCTATCACTCCCATCCTCCATTGGCTTCCCATCCCCAAGCGGATTGAGTTAAAAATCCTCGTTCTCACCTTTAAATCCCTCCAGTCTCACCCCATCCTATCTCAACGACCGTTCAACCCGACAACCCAGTCCCTCATGCTTCATCCTCCCATCCGCCCCACTACAGGCAGGCAGGTTTTCAATCACTTTACACACGTTCTCTGGAATTCTGTCAGTCTCTGATTCCCTCACTTTAAAGGCACGTCTCAAAATGCATCTCTGCATACGGTCATCTTTCCCCTCCCTACCCTCCTTGACTCCCATCCTGAGTTTGGTGACCATCCAACACTATGAAGAGCTTTGAGACATCCACCTAATGTAAGAGGTACTATATAAATTGTATTGTAACCAAACTAACTTGTTTCAGTAGCTCAACAATATCTGTCTTTTAAAAAATCTAAAAAGAGAAATAAAGATTGCTGCCAGAGATTATTTAAAAATGTATCGAGATACGGCACATCCCGGTAACAAAAGTAATAACCACCTTTTAGCATACTATATCTAAAAACTCATTTTAACTCTTAATTTGAAACTAAACCAAAAGCTCATTTCATTGATTGATCACAGTTCTTTGTACAGTAAGGTAAAGACAGCAAAAATCATCCTTTTCCAACTTTAGGAGAATGAGTGGACCAATTTGAACACCAGAAATGATAACAGTGCATTGCCTGAAAATATTGTACCCGGACACTTCACATTACCTTGCCTAATCCAAGGTCATGAACAATCTTTTTTTCCCAGTATGGACGACGCTTCCCACTTTTTATTCTTGTAATGATGTGCAGTTGATGTGGTTGCTCTGGGTCACCACCATATTTTTCATGATCTGAGGGATGCACTTCAAACATCTATAACCAGCATTACAGAAGAAATGCATTAAACTTATGCAGCTATAATCTTTATTACGGTGCAAAATAACCATACAAAATTACATTGTACAGTGCCTTTCACAACAGGAGGATGTCCCAAGGTGCTCGACGTCAGGGATTTGGACCCGAGGGGAAGTGGGGGTTGGGATATGGGAGGCTGGCCGAAGGCATGGTTGAAGAGGAGGATCTTGAGATGTGCCTTGAAGGAATTAATGGAGCGAGTGAGGAGAATGCAATGTGCTATGGAGTTCCAGAGGGTGGGACGGGAGGTTCTTGAGACATGACTTGAGAGGCTGAAGGCCTGACCGCCATTGATGGAGTAGGCTGGAGACTGCTGAGCAGAGGGAGAGGACAAGTTGAAACAGGGTTATCAGGTCACAGAGATAGTAAGGCCGTGGAGGGCCTTGAAGGTGAGGAAGAGGATTTTGAACTCCGCGAGACGGCTGGAGGAGAATCCCCTTTGTTCATTCAAAACATACCCACGTTCCTAAAACAACCCAGAATTATTAGGTGACGTGATATCTAACTAGACATTCAGTATTCAAACAGAAATGGGTGAGTTCATGATTTCTGCCACAAAGAATCAAGCTGAATATATTATTCTAAAGGATTAACTAAATAATTTGATGATAGACAAAAAGCAAATACCCATTTTCTCACCTTTTCTGGAATACGCGACTTAGTAAATTTCAATCGAACAAATCCAGTCCATGATAATGGAATGAGAAACTTCTCTGTCAAGTTCTGTGAAAACAAAACACTACAATGAAAATCTTGAAATAATTCATCATACTAAAAATTCCCATATACACTATTAAATTCACCATAAACATTCTGTCTAATAGAATATTCTGTGAATAATAAGGAATATATTTTGGAAACAATCTTGAGAAGAACATATAGCAAATTAAAGCAGACCACTTTCAATACATTAACAGAATACAATGCATTAGGGGAAGGAAACATATCTTACCTAATTCAATACACATTAATCTACTCAAACATATCTTTAATGATATTCAAATGCATTACCTCAAATTGCTCCCACAATGGCAAACTGGTGACCACAAGTAGTTCTACACTTCAAAATATGTTTTTCCACAGACATAAACTAAGTCGAGGTAGACAAAATCTTGAGTTGTACTGCTAGGTATTTTTTCACAAAAATCTAACTTTTTGGAATGAGATATTAAATCGAAGTGCCATCAACCTGTTCAGGTGGAGGTTAAAGAACCCATATCACCATTCGAAAAGAGGATATTTATTTAGCAAATGGACTTTTTTTGTACAGTAATGCTCTTATTCCCTTGTGTGAATTGCCTGGTTAACATTGTCCTGATCTACAATTCCCCAGATAAAAAAAGACCCGGTTCCCAGATTAAAAAATGTGTACGGTGGCCCTAGCTTGACTAGCTCCAGGAAGCTTGACAGACAGTGTTGCTAAAGAGATGCATGGTTTTAGCTGGTTAAATTCATTACATTATTTAATCAAATAATTAAATTTAATTATTGATTAAATAATTAAATTGCAACAATACCTCCACTGAAAACTCTCGGGTCCACAAGCCTTGGATATTGCCAAACTACATCTAAATTTTCCAGGATTGAGTGCATCTCTCTGGAGAGTATGCATTGCATTCCAGATAAACAGAAATTTCAAAGCATATGTGGAACTACTCAGTTGCACATCAAGCGCTAAGTGCAAAGAGGTTCTAGACTTTTTCGCCTCAAAAATTGAAAAATTGGCTGTATCGTACTCCCGCCCCATATCCCCCTTCCACCCCACCCAGACCATCCACACCACCTTCTCCCTCCACCATGGCTCCTACCACTACCCCCCCCCCTTACACTCCTTTGCCCCATTTCTCCCTCCCTCTCAACCACAATCACCCGCATGAAGTTCACCACCTGCTGCCTTGACCCCCTCCCCACCAGCTGCTGGTCACTCAGCTGCCCCTTCTCTCCCCCCGCTGGCCGACAGTCAACCAGTCTCTCTCCTCAGGAAAACCACTGTTACCACATCCCTCCTCAAAAAAAACCACCCTTGATCCTTCTAATCTCTCACTACCGTCCCATTTCTAACCTACCCTTCCTTGCCAAAGTCCTGGAACGCATTGTTGCAGGTCAACTTCAGTCACATCTCCCTCCTCGAGCCTCTGCAGGCTGGTTTTCACCCTGCCCGCAGCACAGAGACCGCGCTTATCAAAGTCACAAACGACATTCTCTCTATCTGTGACCAGGGTTCCCTCTGCCTTGTCCTCCTGGATCTCTCTGCCACGTTCAATACAGTCAACCACGCCATCCTCCTCCATCAGCTCTCCTCCCTCATCTAAGTTGGACCGCACTCGCATGATTCGAGTCCTACTTAACCGACCGCATCCATTTCATCTCAGCAAATGGTTTCTCCTCCCTCCCCCGCCAGGTCACCTGCGGAGTACCCAAGGCTCCATGCTTGGCCCTCTTCTTTTCCTCATCTGTATGCTTCTCTTGGCGATGTCATCTGCAGACATGGGGTAAACATCCACATGTATGCAGATGACACACAAATCTACTTTGCCTCCTCCGGTACCAACTCCAGGACCGCCAATGTTCTATCAACTTAACTGGCAGACATCAAGGCCTGGATTAGTGTAAACTTCCTGCAGTTGAATATGGACAAGACGGAAGCCATTCTCCTTGGTTCCCATCAACTTCTTCATTCCTGCAGATCTAAACTCCTCAATCTTCCTGGGCTGTCCCTCAGACTCATTGAACCAGCTCTAAACCTCGGCGTCCAGTTCGACCCCCAGCTGACCTTCCTTCCCCCACATCCGATCCTTGTCCAGGACCACCTTCTTCCACCTCCACCACATTGCCCGCCTCTGATCGTACCTTACCCCAAATGCAGCAGAAACCCTCATGCAAGCGTTTGTCACCTACTGTTTGGATTACTCCAAAGCACTCCTCGCCGGTCTCCCCAGATCCACTATTCAAAAGATCCAGCTCATTCAGAACTCTGCCACCCACATACTGACCCGGACCAAACACTGTACCCACAACTCATCAGTTCTGGCCAGACTCCACTGGCTCCCCATCACCGAATGGATCAACTTCAAGATCCTCACACTCGTGTTCAAATCCATTCACTCCCTGGCACCTCCCTACCTCTCCAAACCTCTCACTTCCCAAACCACCACTCCGCTCGACTGGCAGCGGCCTCCTGCTAGTCCCTCGCACCCTCCGCCCCACCATAGGAGGTTGCACTTTCAGCCACTACTCCCCAAAACTCTGGAACACTCTCCCTCAATCCCTCCGACTTGCCCTCTCTCTCCCCTCTTTCGAATCCTGCCCGAAAACCTAGCTCTGACAGTGCTTATGGCCACCTCTCCTCTCGGCTTGGAGTCAGGCGCTGCCACTGTTAAGTGCTCTGAGACGTTACCCTGTGTGGAGGGCGCTGTATAAATGCAAGTTGTTGTTGTTTATGTTGTTGGATACTCTTTAAGAATGGTGGTGGGTTTCTGTGTGCACCAAATACCCAACTGATCAAAATAAAAATATTTTTATATTGCAGCTCTGAAGGCAGGAGGTGATATGCAACCTAAACTGATGGTGTTGCCATGTTTTGAGTCTTTGGCACTTGTATATAATCTTCACTATTCCAAAGGGCCCTTAATACAAAATAACATTTTGCATGTGTACGAACATTTGACATCATCATGCAAGCAGCACAACAATGTCAGATGCATTAACCACGTCTAAAACCATTAAAAATATATGTTTATCATCTCCGCTACTGAAATAAAGATAGTGAAGGATAGGTGATGCACTTAGATATTGGAAAAAAGGTTTGTGCACGCATAAATTATCATTTAGATCAATTGTTCCAGCGTCTACTCTTCTCATTATAGTCGGTTCTCTATGTGGAGGCAAGAGAATATCTAACTCTGAAAAGTGCTCTCTTATATTTTGTGCTGAGAAAACCCAGTATTTTTTGTTACGATGTCTAGAAGCAAACATTATGAAGAAAATAATACTGTACTACTACCACAAATAATAGTTATAATCCTTGCATTTCATATAAGAACATAAGAACATAAGAATTAGGAGCAGCAGTAAGCCATTCGGCCCCTCTAGCCTGCCCCGCCATTCAATAAGATCATGGCTGATCTATTCTAACTCCACCTACCTGCCTTATCCCCATATCCTTTAATCCCTTTATCGACAAGGCATCTATCAATCTCAGTCTTGAATATGTTCAAGGACTGAGCATCCACAGCCCTTTGGGGTAGAGAATTCCATAAATTCACTACCCTCTGAGTGAAGAAGTTTTTCCTCAACTCAGTGCGAAAGGGCTTACCCCTAATTTTAAGACTGATTTCTGGTTATAGTTTCTCCAACCAGGGGAAAAAGTCTCCCACTGTCTATTCTGTCGTGCCCCTTAATAGGTTTCTATAAGATCACCTCTCATTCTTCTATATTCTAGAGAATATAGGCCTAAATTGCTCAACCTATCCTCGTAACTCATCCCCCTCATCTCTGGTACCAACCTGGTGAATCTATGTTGTACCCCCTCCAAGGCAAGTACATCCTTTCTTAAATAAGGAGACCAAAATTGCACACAATACTTCAGGTGTGGTCTCACCAGGGCCCTATACAGTTGCAGCAAGACTTCCCTACTCTTAAATTCTAACCCTTTTGTAACAAATGCCAACATACTGTTAGCCTTCCTAATTGCTTGCTGCACCTATAGCGCCTTTCAGGAGGACATTGTAAAATGCTTCACAGGATTTACTGTAGTGTGTAGTCACTTTGTATTTGTAGGCAAATGTCTCAAGATTGTCTGCATTCCCTTCTGTATTCTGAATTTAATTTAATCAAATAAAGGATGCCACCTAGTGACTAATCTGAAAGAGAACAATAGGTTAACAGTTTGTGTATACAGTAACCTCAGTATAACTCACATTCATGTTCTGATACTGATTGACGAGGCGTTTTCATCATGTTTTACATTTTTACCAAAGAACGATGTTCATTTAGCAAACTAACTTTTTCAAAGTCACAAATGACATCCTCTTTCTCTGTGACCAGGGCTCCTTCTGCCTCCTCATCCTCCTGGTCCTCTCGGCTGCGTTCAACAGTCGATTATGCAATAATCCTCCACCGCCTCTCCTTCTTCATCCACCTCAGTGGGACTGCACCCGCCTGGTTCGACTCCTACATAACCAACCATCACTTTGACTCCGCAAAGATTTTTCCTCCCGCCCCCACCCGGTCACCTACGGTGAATCCCAAAGCTCCATCCTTGAGCCCCTCCTCTTCCTCATCTATATGCTCCTTCTCGGGGATGTCATCTGCAGACATGGGGTCAACCTGGGGATGACATCCAAATCTACTTCTCCTCCTCTAGCTGCGACTCCAGGTCTGCTGATATTCTGTCAGCTTGTTTGTCTGACATCAAGGACTGGATGAGCACAAACTTCCTGCAGTTGAATGTCGACATGACAAAAGCCATACTCCTTGGCTCCCGTCAATGTTTTCTATCCTGCGGCTCTGGCCTACAATCTCCCCGGCCCATCCCCAAGACTTATCGAAACTGTGCATAACTAGGTATCAGGTTCAATCCTTCCTTCCTGACCAGGGACGCTTTCCTTCACCTCCGTCACATTCACGCTTCCGACAGTACCTTATACCCAATGCAACCAAAACTCTTGTCCTTGTTTTCGTCACCTCCCGCCTCGACTAATATTCTCTCCAGCTCCCCTATCCACAAAATCTAACTAATTCCAAACTCCGTCACCCATATACTCAACTGTTCTAAACTCGTCACACCAGTCATTGCCAGGCTCCACTGGCTCCTTATTACAAAACAAATCAACATTAAGATCCTCACACTCATTTATAAATCCCTTCATGCCCTGGCACCTCCCTTCTTCTCCGACCTGCTTACTCCCGACTCCAAGCACCCACCGCCTCTGCTTGGCTGGATCTAACCTCCTGGTTATCCCTCGTTACCTCCTCTCCATCATCGGTGGCCATCCTTTCAGCCACTACGCCCCAAAAATTTGGAAATCTCCCCCCGCCTTGCCCCACCATCCCATCTTCAGATCACGCCTTCCTCCTCCCAGGTCGGCATCAGGCTCCGCTAAGCGCTCCGAGACACTATTCCAGGTCGATGAGCACTTTATAAATGCAAGTTGCTGTTCTCAAATCTCCTGCCCTGCTTTATCCGTTACCCTTTCAAGCTCTCGCTATCCTGTCCATATTTTGCCCTTGACATCCGCCCCTTGCACCCCACATGCCGTATATTAATACAATACAAACTGTCCTTAAAGGAGGAGGTGGGGGGGCTGTGTGTGTGGGGGGTTTGTGTGTGTGTGTGTGTGGGGGGGGGTTGTGTGTGTGTGTGGGGGGGGGCTGTGGGGTGTGGGGTGTGTGGGGGCTGTGGGGGCTGTGGGTGTGTGTGGGGGCTGTGGGTGTGTGCAGGGGCTGTGGGGTGTGTGTGGTGGGGGGGTATGAGGTGTGGTGGGGGCTGTGGGGGGTGTGTGGGGTGTGTGTGGGGGGGTGAGGTGTGTGGGGGCTGTGGGGGGTGTGTGTGGTGGGGGTGTGTGGGGGGGGGGGTGAGGTGTGTGGGGGCTGTGGGGGGTGTGTGTGGGGGGGTGAGGTGTGTGGGGGCTGTGTGGGGGCTGTGGGGGGTGTGTGTGGTAGGGGGTGTGTGGGGGGGGGGGGGGTGAGGTGTGTGGGGGCCGTGGGGGTGTGTGGGGGGGGGCTGTGGTGTGTGTGGGGGCTGTGGTGTGTGTGGGGGCTGTGGTGTGTGTGGGGGCTGTGGTGTGTGTGGGGGGCTGTGGTGTGTGTGTGGGGGGGGTGTGGGGGGGGGGTGTGGGGGGGGGGTTGTGGGGGCTGTGGTGTGTGTGGGGGCTGTGGTGTGTGTGGGGGCTGTGGTGTGTGGGGGGGGGGTTGTGGGGACTGTGGTGTGTGTGGGGGCTGTGGGGTGTGTGTGTGGGGGGGTGTGGGGGCTGTGGGGTGTGGGGGGGTCAGGAGTGCGGGGAGCCCGGGGCCTGGTGTGTGTGGGGTGTGTGTGTGTGTGTGTGGGGGGGGTGTGTGTGTGTGGGGCGTGTGTGGGGTAGTGCCGGGGAGCCCGGGGCCTGGTGTGTGTGGGGGGCTGTGGGGTGTGTGGGGGGGTCAGGAGTGCCGGGGAGCCCGGGGCCTGGTGTGTGGGGGTGGGGGGGGGGGGGGGTGGTGCCGGGGAGCCCGGGGCCTGGTGTGTGTGGGGTGTGTGTGGGGGCCTGGGGTGTGTGGGGGGGGGGGGGGTGTGTGGGGGTGTGGGGTGTGTGGGGGGGTGTGGGGGTAGTGCCGGGGAGCCCGGGGCCTGGTGTGTGTGGGGTGTGTGTGGGGCCTGGGGTGTGTGGGGTGTGTGGGGGTGTGTGGGGGTGTGGGGGGGTGTGGGGGGGTGTGGGGTAGTGCCGGGGAGCCCGGGGCCTGGTGTGTGTGTGTGGGGGGTGGGGTAGTGCCGGGGCCTGGTGTGTGTGGGGTGTGGGGGGAGCCCGGGGCCGGGGGGGTGTGTGGGGCTGTGGGGTGTGGGGGAGCCCGGGGCCTGGTGTGTGTGGGGGGGGGTGTGTGGGGGCTGTGGGGTGTGGGGGGAGCCCGGGGCCTGGTGTGTGTGGGGGGGGGGGGGTGTGGGGTGTGTGGGGTGTGGGGGGAGCCCGGGGCCTGGTGTGTGGGGGGGGGTGTGTGGGGTGGGGGGAGCCCGGGGCCTGGTGTGTGGGGGGGGGTGTGTGGGGTGGGGGGAGCCCGAGGCCTGGTGTGTGGGGGGGGGGGTGTGTGGGGTGGGGGGAGCCCGGGGCCTGGTGTGTGTGTTGTGGGGGGGGTGTGGGGGCTGTGGGGTGTGGGGGGGCTGTGGGGTGTGGGGGAGCCCGGGGCCTGGTGTGTGGGGGGGGGGGTGTGGGGTGTGGGGGAGCCCGGGGCCGGGGGGGTGTGGGGGCTGTGGGGTGTGGGGAGCCCGGGGCCGGGGGGGGGTGTGGGGGCTGTGGGGTGTGGGGGGAGCCCGGGGCCGGGGGGGGTGTGGGGGCTGTGGGTGTGGGGGGAGCCGGGGCCGGGGGGGGGGGTGTGGGGGCTGTGGGGTGTGGGGGAGCCCGGGGCCTGGTGTGTGTGTGGGGGGGGGGGGGGGGGTGTGGGGGCTGTGGGGGCTGTGGGGTGTGGGGGGAGCCCGGGGCCGGGGGGGTGTGGGGGCTGTGGGGTGTGGGGTGTGGGGGCTGTGGGTGTGGGGGGCTGTGGGGTGTGTGTGTGTGGGGGGGGTGTGGGGGCTGTGGGGTGTGGGGGGAGCCCGGGGCCTGGTGTGTGGGGGGGGGCTGTGGGGTGTGGGGGGAGCCCGGGGCCTGGTGTGTGGGGTGTGGGGTGTGGGGGGAGCCCGGGGCCGGGGGGGGGTGTGGGGGCTGTGGGGTGTTCAGGCCGATGGTTGGCTCTGGGAAAGCGGCGGAATAACACTCACCCCCAGACGCCGAGTGCAGCCTCGGGCCGCGCGGCACAGCCCCGCCATCAGCCGCTCCTCTCTCTCGCCGCTCGGGGAGTCAGTCCCCGGGGCTGAGCCGAGGGCGAGGACACGCGGCTGTATAGGCAGTGCCCGAGGCCGCTCACCCCCTCCTGCACACGGCCCCCACCGACACTGCGGCTCCGCTGCACATAACCGGACAGAAATAGCGGTGACACCGATACCAGGAAGAGGAAGAGACCGACTAGAAACTAACACACACCGGACAGGTAATACACAGCCTCTCATACACTGTACACACCGCACTGGTAATACACAGCCTCTCATACACTGTACACACCGCACTGGTAATACACAGCCTCTCATACACTGTACACACCGCACTGGTAATACACAGCCTCTCATACACTGTACACACCGCACTGGTAATACACAGCCTCTCATACACTGTACACACCGGACAGGTAATACACAGCCTCTCATACACTGTACACACCGGACAGGTAATACACAGCCTCTCATACACTGTACACACCGGACAGGTAATACACAGCCTCTCATACACTGTACACACCGGACAGGTAATACACAGCCTCTCATACACTGTACACACCGCACTGGTAATACACAGCCTCTCATACACTGTACACACCGCACTGGTAATACACAGCCTCTCATACACTGTACACACCGCACTGGTAATACACAGCCTCTCATACACTGTACACACCGGACAGGTAATACACAGCCTCTCATACACTGTACACACCGGACAGGTAATACACAGCCTCTCATACACTGTACACACCGGACAGGTAATACACAGCCTCTCATACACTGTACACACCGGACAGGTAATACACAGCCTCTCATACACTGTACACACCGGACTGGTAATACACAGCCTCTCATACACTGTACACACCGGACAGGTAATACACAGCCTCTCATACACTGTACACACCGCACTGGTAATACACAGCCTCTCATACACTGTACACACCGCACTGGTAATACACAGCCTCTCATACACTGTACACACCGGACAGGTAATACACAGCCTCTCATACACTGTACACACCACACTGGTAATACACAGCCTCTCATACACTGTACACACCGCACTGGTAATACACAGCCTCTCATACACTGTACACACCGCACTGGTAATACACAGCCTCTCATACACTGTACACACCGCACTGGTAATACACAGCCTCTCATACACTGTACACACCGGACAGGTAATACACAGCCTCTCATACACTGTACACACCGCACTGGTAATACACAGCCTCTCATACACTGTACACACCGCACTGGTAATACACAGCCTCTCATACACTGTACACACCGGACTGGTAATACACAGCCTCTCATACACTGTACACACCGGACAGGTAATACACAGCCTCTCATACACTGTACACACCGCACTGGTAATACACAGCCTCTCATACACTGGACACACCACACTGGTAATACACAGCCTCTCATACACTGTACACACCGCACTGGTAATACACAGCCTCTCATACACTGTACACACCGCACTGGTAATACACAGCCTCTCATACACTGTACACACCGCACTGGTAATACACAGCCTCTCATACACTGTACACACCGGACAGGTAATACACAGCCTCTCATACACTGTACACACCGGACTGGTAATACACAGCCTCTCATACACTGTACACACCGGACTGGTAATACACAGCCTCTCATACACTGTACACACCGCACTGGTAATACACAGCCTCTCATACACTGTACACACCGGACAGGTAATACACAGCCTCTCATACACTGTACACACCGGACAGGTAATACACAGCCTCTCATACACTGTACACACCGGACTGGTAATACACAGCCTCTCATACACTGTACACACCGCACTGGTAATACACAGCCTCTCATACACTGTACACACCGGACTGGTAATACAAAGCCTCTCATACACTGTACACACCGGACTGGTAATTCACAGCCTCTCATACACTGTACACACCGCACTGGTGTAATACACAGCCTCTCATACACTGTACACACCGCACTGGTAATACACAGCCTCTCATACACTGTACACACTGGACTGGTGAGCGTGTAATACAAACTGTAACACACAGAATGAACTAGTGACAGACTGTGTGTATCGTCTCACCAGTACATAATATAATAAAGTGAATTTACTGTATATTTTGTGTGCGAAACGCAGCTGCCAATTGCGGACAGCAGTGTTGTGTATTACAAACTATTACAGACTATACTGCACAGTGTTTAATACACAACATATACTTGTGAGACTAGATACACAGTCTGTAATATGCAAAATGTATTGGTGAGCCCACATCCACAGTCTGTTAAAACCTAATATATTGTACAGTTCCATACACAGTGTACACGGGTGGGACCACACACACAGTCTGTGATACACAGCATACACTGATGAGACTACAAGGCGCACACCAAGTGAATATAGATCCAGAGAGAGGACAGAACTATAATTAATACATATTAAAACTAGAGAACACAAGAGAGTGGTTGGAGATTTAGTAATATATTAGAAAAACTGTATAATTTAGAGCTTCAACCTGTTAACCAGTTTAATGAATATTCTTACTATTTTACTTTTAGGAATCTTGAAATTTGTCTGAAATTGAATTAACATTATTACACATTTGAACCAATTGTTCTGCAATATGAATCTATCCTTTAACAATTCTATTGTTCCTAGATTCGGTCTCTGCCGCAATGTCTCAGCAGTTACTGGCAGGGATGGAAAGCTCAGCTGTGACTGTACTGAAGAGAGCAGTGGAGTTAGACAGCAGCTCACGTTTTCAGGAATCTCTGGTCTGCTATCAGGAAGGAATCCATCTGCTTATGGAAGTGTTAAAAGGTAGCAAAACTTTGATGTTTTCACGCAAATTCTTTCAAACTGAATCCAGCTGCCCCTTTGAACTTTCAGGATCTTGTGGCCGCTCAAAACTCACCTTTCCTACACCCATAAAATTAAATGGTTTGTACTGAAAGTCATTGTGAATTGTTATCCACTGGCAATTAACTCCTGAGAATTTTCCTCAAAAGCAGACTTGCATCTTGTATATGGCTGTAAAAATCCTACCTTACTGCAACTGAGAGTGAACCAAACAAAAAGTCCTGGTTAGATAAAGCTATTTATTGATAATTACTGGTTAGATAAAGCTATTTATTGATAATTACTGGTTAGATAAAGCTATTTATTTGTATGTTTGACTAGACAGGCATAATCTACAAAAAAATTTACTCATTGCTTACATGCACCTATATATGGATATACTATTTATATTGTATTTTGCTTGTTGCTGTGAAAATGTCTGTCTATAATTGTGTTTGTTCTCATAATTATTGTCTATCTGACTAACTGAGTAAACTAAATATATGCGGAATAATATAATAATAATCCTTATATTTGATATAGCACCTTATCACGTCTTTGAGACGTCTCAAGGCGCTTTACAGAATATATTGTAAAGTGAATTGACTGTATATTTTGTGGGCCAATTAGTGGAAAATTGTGAGATTGTGAGAATAAATTATCAGTGGGAAGAACTTGCCAGCTAATGAAGGTTATATGTTTTCAACTCTAGGAGTTGTATTCTTTTCCTGATCCAATTGTTTATAACTACTAATATTAAACAATGCTTGTGAAATATATAATACAAAACTGAATCCCGCAATGTCCCGCAATTCTCTTCAACCGTGCCTTCAGCTCCCCTCTCGACTCTCTACCCCCTCCTCGCCCTTCCCCTCAACCTGACCATTTCCCCCCTGCTCGGGTCCCGACCCAACTGTCCAGCGCCTTGGGACATCCTCCCGACGTGAAAGGCGCTCTATAAATGCAATCATGTTGTTGTTGTCAGGATAACTATGGTAACAGAAAATAAGTGACCACTTCTTCCTTACATTGATAAAAACATCTAGATTAAATGCATGACATTTCTGATTTATTAAAACAACTAGCCATTTAAAATCTAGAAATATTGTTTTTTACTGTCTATAGCTACAAAAGATGACACAAAAAAAGGCCATTATCGACAGAAAGTCAGAAATTACATGGACCGAGCAGAACAAATTAAAATGCACTTAACCAAGATGAAAGAAGGTAATTGTTTGTAAATATAGTAAAATTGTTATGCAGCAGTTTCATTGCAAGGCATACTATCCTAAAACCTTCTAATAAAGTAACAAACACATTTTTAATAAAGTAAATGTTTTACTTTTCCTATATATTTCAGAAGGGAAATACCATGAGCAGATCAAAATTTCAGCAGATGCTACTGGATACAGTTATGAAAAGCTATTCAAACCATATTTAGATCCCCTTGTTACTGAAGTCTGGGTGGAAGATCCGTATATCAGGCACGTTCATCAGGTGATTGCTATACAAGCAGTAAGAAATATATATACTATATACATATATTGTATATAAATAAAAATAGGGAGCAGTATGGCCTAATGTGTTTTTAGAATCACTAATGTTCAAAATCTTCTGGTGGGATGAGTTTTAAAATATTGGAAGCATATTGCATTTAATATGATTGCAACTGAATTGGATATTTAAACAACATATAATTTTCTAAAGCTTTACTTGTACAATTTATACTTTTTTTTGCCTGTTTGTAGGTGTATAACTTCTTGAGATTCTGTGAGATGCTTCTCAAGGGACCTTGTAAAGTGAAAAACATTCATCTACTGACGTCACTTGATGATGTATGTATCTTACACTGCATTATAATAATAATAATAATCCTTGCATTTGATATAGCGCTTTTCACGTCAGGAGGACGTCCCAAAGCGCTTCACAGAACACACTGTAAAGTGAATTGACTGTATATTTGTGGGCGAACGTGGCAGCCAATTGCGCACAGCAATGTCCCACAAACAGTCGTAGATTGAAAATGACGAATTTATTATTGTTTTTGTTTTTGGAGGGATTATTATTAGGCGTGTGGATTAAGGAAACTTGCCCAAGGTTTCGCACTGCCTGGAATTGAACTCAGGTCTCTCGCTTGCAAAGTGAGTGCTCTAACCACTGAGCTACAGGACTCCGAATGTTGCATTGGAATGTTGTGAGGTGTTAAAAGGAATTTGTTTACATACAAGGATTTGTCTTTGTAATCCCTTTGTAATCTCACTATTCTCTTTCTTATATCTTCTATTCTTTGATGTGTTTAGCCTTGCGTCCTCTCTCTATGCCTTTAAAACCTCCTTAAAATCTTTTCAACCATAGAGTTGGTCAGTATTCTTAAATCTCCCTTTTATCCTGGTTGCTGCTGCCGTTATATTTTTCAAGTATTTAGACCTTCGTTGTATGTAAAAGGTATTGCACAATTCCAAGATGTTGTTCAGTGTAAACCAACACTTGATCCTGTAAAACAGTGACAGCTATAGCACATCCAGTGGTTGGGCCTTGGGTTTGTGCCCACAGCCCCATGTATCACTATTCCACAGTGTGAGGAGGTGCTGAGCAGAGTGCATGCATTCAATCAAGGGGTGAAGAGTATATCACCATTGAGCAATCGTCATAAATTGCAAAGTTACTTTACATCCAATGTAGCCTCCAGCTGACCCAGTGTAGGAGGCCTGGGTACCAGATTGCCAGCTTTCTTGACTGAAGTGAGTGTATGTCCTGAATAAAAGCAGGGATTTGTTCCAGCAAAATCTACAACAATTCTCCCTCCACTGGCTTGAGTTCTACTAGTTCCCTGAGTTGCATATTGACCACAGCAGAGAGGCTAAACTGTCCTCTACTAATATCACTAGGAATAAGACCTTTTCTGCAGATTTAATTTTGATGTCATCTCTTTCACTTTTTCAAAAAAACATTGAATATGCATCCCTTTGCTATGCCAAAATGACTACGGTTTTTAAACAGAAATTTACTTTTGAAGTCTGATATTCTTGATATTCTAATATTCTTACTGATGGATGCATATGTTCAAAGAGTACTGTCAGACTAGCATTCTGCATTTACTTTAAAGTATTTTTTAATAATGTTATCCATTGACATCTATAATAATTATCTCCCCACAAATAGAAATGGAAACGTTTAAGGTAGATGCATTTGTAGGATATTGTTTCCAGTTAATTTTATTTACACTTCCAAGATACTTACTTTATGTGAGAGGCAACAACAACAAATTACATTTGGATAGAGCCTTTTACGTCGGGAGGTCGTCTCAAGGCGAGAAATGCAGGTTGTTGTTGTTGTTATTCACATTTCAACTAGTGGTTTGCGATATTGCAAGTCAGTGATGAATGTTTACTTCACCAAGATACTTCATCAAACCATAAAGTGAGGAATGTGCAGTAAACCAGATGTGGAAGAGCAGAAGGTGCAGAAAGCTTTCTCCCTCCCCCCCACACTCTGTTGAGTTTTCAATGTGAACCATTATGTTACGGAGAGCTTCTGAGTGGATCTCCCAAAATATGGCTCAAAGTAGAATTGGGAACTATGTGATCATTCAATACATGACCTGGGAGCATGGGGAGAAAATGAATGGATTCAGATCTTCATCAAAAGAAAGCTCTATAATCATGAGTAATCTACATGCATTTTAGTCTCTATCTAGAACAGAAATATAGTCAAGTGTATGTCTGTGTCTGCAAATAAATGGCCACAACAGGCATTGTGCAGAACAGGATTTATTGTAAAATATAGGGACTGAGCATTTGTAGGCAAATATGGCAGCTAGCTTGCGCACAGCAACATCCCACGAACAGCCATGATGTGAATGACTAATTTTTTCTGAGGATTGTCGGCCAGGACACTAGGAGAAATGCCTTTCTCTTTTTGAATAGTCTTATGCAATCTTTAACTTGAAAAATGGCTTGAAATGAAATGTTACCCACACCAAACAGGGCTGGTCTTCTCTCACACCGATAATCTTATGGTGATTTCGTAAAAGATTTACACAGTACAATTGGTACTAATGTTACAGTGCTAGTTTTATACCTTTGCCAGATGCATAATCATGCTGCATATTCATGTTATTTTATCTCCTGAATATCTTGTTACATTTTAGGATAGTAGGAACTCCCAGCAGACTAGTGGCCTTGAAGAAATAAAGCAGTCATTGCAGAGTTATGGTGTAACAATGGAAGTGATGTTCTCCTCTACAATACATGACAGGGAAATCAGGTGATTCTTTCGCAGCATCACTGCATAAACTCAAAAATAAATCTAAGGCATTTTATGTTACTGCTTATGAAATCTACGTTGATAGAAAAGATTTTGTTCCTTCTGCTGTCATGTTACTTTCTTCTCCAGCTGAGACATTGAGGCAGTCCTCCCTCGTGGACTCTTATAAGTGTAAGGATTGTTAACAGGGGGTAGATATCTGATCTTGCTATGTCTTATCCCTCTTGCTTACCAATGGAAGCAAGAGGGATAAGAAATGGCATGCTCCGCCCTGCCCATAAAAATACAGCTCTGACTAAACCAAGACAGGCTAGTGATTGTCTAAATATTGAGTGCAATTTGAACTTGCAATTCTTGAAATTAACAAGCTGTAAATCTAGTGTATTTAATTTCAAATTGCTTTATATATTTTCCCCTTCCCAAACACCATTTCTTGATTATAATAATAATAATAATAATCCTTGCATTTGATATAGCGCTTTTCACGTCGGGAGCACGTCCCAAAGCGCTTCACAGAACACACTGTAAAGTAAATTGACTGTATATTTGTGGGTGAACACGGCAGCCAATTGCGCACAGCAATGTTCCACAAACAGTCGTAGATTGAAAATGACTAATTTATTATTGTTTTTGGTTTTGGAGGGATTATTATTATTAGGCTCTGTGTGGAGTAAGGAAACTTGCCCAAGGTTTCGCCCTGCCTGGAATTGAACTCAGGCCTCTCGCTTCCAAAGCGAGTGCTCCAACCACTGAGCTACAGGACTCCGTTGGGAGGATAGGCAGTTAACTTACTCTAGAGATAATCTGCCAATGTGGAATACAAAGGAAAATACAAAGCTGAGTGACCAGACCTTATTGTATTTTTACATGCATTACCTCTATATAGTTTCTGTCCTCTATTCTCTCATTCTCTTCCCCTTCTTGAATGAGCATAATCCCCAAATAAGCAATAAGATATAAAAACATAATAGGCCCTTTCTAAAATTCTAAAGTTTATTTCTACCTACCTATCAAAGAAATTATAGAAATTCAAAACTAATATTAAGTTTTATACCAATGTTTGAGGACATCAGAAACATGTTTTTTTTAGAAAGATTAATGGTTCAATGCAAGATGTAACTGGGGTCAAGGCCAAAAAATGTAAATCGAGTGTACTTGTGTTGCAACTAAAGTGTTTTGTTTCTTTGTGCCAGATTTAACAACGGGTGGGTGATAAAGATCGGAAGAGGACTAGATTACTTTAAAAAAACACAGGTTTGTTTTGAATTAAATAGTGTTCTTGGTATTAGGATGGCATTGATAGAAATATTTATTTTCTATGAACATTTAAACAGAAGTATGAGGTGACATACTAGTTGTTATTCAGCTGAAATTCACTATTACCAATAAGTGAATTTATACACAGTTGAAATGATCGCATTGTATCTGTTAATGATTAATCCTAATTCAATAACTATTACCACTATCAAGTTATCTTATCATTCTGAGCCTAGTAACTCCCTTCATTCAATTCACATCATGGCACCTTCAACACTCAGAATTTCGTATGAAATGTGAAGACCACTCACCTATCCCTTTCGGGATTTTGTGTTTATAGAGATAGGGGATGGCTCCTAAGGTACGAGGAGAATGTATTTGTAAAGGATTCTCAGTTCACGTACCCTGCCTCACTGCCTGATTTACTATGACAAACATCTGCACATTCCTGCTCTTGCAACTAGTTAGGAAACACTCTAGGCAATGGCAATGTAATGTTTTTCTAAAAATCCTTGTATCATAAAAATAATAATCATTGCATTTCATATAACACCTAACCTCTCAGGAACGTCTCAACACACTTCATAGCACATACTATAAAATGTAATGACTGTATAAGTTGTAGATGAATGTGGCAGAATATTTGTTTGTGGGACATTCCACAAACAATGCCACAAACAGAAGTGAATGACCAGTTTTATCTTTGGGATCGTTAGCCAGCACGCCAGATGAACTTCATTTCCTTTTCGAATACAGTAGTGCCATGAGATCTTTAACATCTGCCTGAACAGACAGATAGGATCTCAGTTTACATGTCATCTGAAGGACAGATAGAGCAACTTCACATCCAGATGAAATTGGGAGCCTGTGTACAAATCTTCCCTCACATTGTGGAGGAAATGAAAATGCAAACAAAATGATGAAATAGGATAGGGATGTTGGAGCACTAATTATTAAAAAAAACTTAACTATGTTTGAAAAGATGTTGAGATTTAAAGAGATATCGATGCTTTTTTTTGCTTTTCCAGAGCAAATTTTCTATTGGATACTGCGACTTTGACTTGAGACACTGCCATGAAACTACAGTCGACATATTCCATACAAAGCACACAAAGAATTCATAGCTTAGAGATACTCTTCTGGTTATTCACTTTTATTAGGCAATGTATTCAAAGCATTTTACAGTTTTTTAATATAATCATTTATAATACTGAAGTAACCATTATTTAAATACCCTGCAACTTGCATTATTTAATAGTAATTTATTTTATAAATGCAATAGCAGCAACAACAACTTGCATGTCTATACGGGGCTTCACACAGGATAGCGTCTTGGAACACTTAACAATTGTGGAGTTTGACACCAAGCCGAAGAGAGGGGGGGGGGAGGTGACTGTAGACACGTCCAAAGAGGAAAGTTTTCAGATCTGTTGTGAAGGAGGCCAGGCAGAGGGATTGAGGCAGAGAATTCCAGTTTCAGGATGTAGTGGCTGAAAGCACGGCTTCCGATGGTGAGGTGAAGGGGACGGGGGATGTGCAGGAGGCACCTGAGCAAAGTAGTGGAGTGAGGAGTAAGTAAGTCGAAGAGGTAGGGAGGTGACAGCACATGAAGTGATTTGTGTATGAGTATGAGGATCTTGAAATTGATCAGTTCTATAATAGAGTCAGGCAAGGACTGGTGTTCTAAGGACCAGAATTTGGTGTAGGTGAGCACAAGAAGGACAGCTGGGGATCGACTCCGACCCCTAGGTTATGCACAAGTTCCATAAATCTGAGGGATAGGCCAGTGAGGTTAAGGTAGGTCAGAGCTACAGGTGAGAAAACGTTGATGGAGCCAAGGAGTATGGCTTCCGTCTTGTCAGTATTCAGCTACAGAAAGTTGAGTCTCATCCAGCCCTTGATATCTGGCAACAAGAGGACAGAACGTGCCTTGATTTGGGTTCGCAGCTGTAGGAGAAGTAGATTTTATCCCCCAAAATACATAATTTTAATAAGGTTTTGTATGAAAATGGTTTGAGGAATGTATATTAAAATGGTTGTCTTAATGAAATTCTGTAATGTGTCCATCTGCTCTCGGATCATTAAAAAACTTCTCAAAATGTCACTTTCTTCACGAATTGTCATGTGTTCATGTTACCAAATGTTAGTAAGTTAATTTATTCATCCTGAATCCCTTGATTGGCTTTGTTAACCAGTCTGAGTCTTCAGTGAAAGTACAATATATTAACCGAATTCAAGGAAAATATAACTAGTGACCTTGGTTTACAAAAATTAAATTCCAAAGTTTATCAAATCAACAAAGAATCAGATCACACTGCACCTAAATTGCATGCTATACACCTACATTTATGTTTTTAATCCACGGAGGCCCTTTCAAATTCATACCTGGTACATTGAAATAACAGTATCCTTAATAAGATCACACTATGGTCAAGGCAATATTTTCCCATTATGTCTTTGACCATGCCTATGGTCACCTCCTCTTTTTCCTTTCTTTGCATCCATCCCACAACTGTGCAATGCCCCGAGATACCATCCTGAGTGAAGGGCTCTATATAAATGTAATGTCACCAATAAATCAAATAGGGAAGTCAGAAGAAACTTCTTTACACAGGGAATGTGAAACTTACTACCACAAAAGTAGTTGAGGGGAATAGCATAGAAGCATTTAAGGGGAAGTAGATAAGTACATGAGGGTGAAAGGAATAGAAGGTTATGCTGATAGGCTCAGTTGAGGAAGAGCAGGAGGAGGAGGCTCGTGTGGGGCATAAACGCCAGCTTAGACCAGTTGGGCCGAATAGCCTGTTTCTGTACTGTATATTCTATGTAATTCTATGCACTTGGCGGTAGTGAAATAAAGAACATTACAAATATTCTTGTCCATTGCATCAATAAAAATTGGCGAGAGACAATGGCTCTTTTTACTGAGTAAATCGGATGAGAATTGGATTTTTCAATGTTAGTTGTTTCATAAATTACTACATCTTTTAGTAATGTACCTGAATCAAAAGGTACATTTCCCAAAATGAAATGTTAAATCACCTGAACCACTTTATCAAGACTGTATATTTTGACCAAGCCCGTGGTAAGTAACATTACAAATCCAGCGCAAATGGTATCTAAACAGTAGTAGCAAATGGTCAAAGTGGAAATTAATAATTTAACCAGTTAAATTAAACTAGAAGTTGCTAACATTGCAATTAAACTGCAGTATAGGGATTACAAGTCTAAACTGTTTAAAATAATGATGATAAGGTTAGCAAATATTGCCAGTCATTAACCTAAAGTGCCATTCAAAGAAAACTGGATTAAGGTCTTTTCTGTTTTGCAGCATCCCAGTTAGTATGGAGTCATTTCGGGAAATAAATCTACTTATACCGGACTAAACGGAGAACCTTGTAATTCATAAAGTCAGAGGAATCTGGTTGCAAGGAATCCACATGGAATCCATTACTCATTGCTGTTTTTAGTACTTCTTCTACAAACAATTGGAAGTTGTTGACTTGCTCATTTGTATGCACAACCCACAACCTTTTTAAATTCTGCCTTGTGTATTCATCTTCAGGCAACACTCGCACATGTCCAACCCACTGTAATGTCAAATGGTGGGGATCTTTCTTCTCGTAGCCAATTGGTGAAAGTTTTCCATTGACATAATAGCAGAACTTGGAGCTCAAATGTTTCAAGAATTCAGCTGATGTACAAAATATGTTTGCATCAAAGATCTCTGTGCTGCATGAGGTGAGGTTGTACATTTGTGGAGCTGGTTTGACAGTGAAATAAACAGTCTGCAGTCTCTGATCCAGAGAAATATTAAACATTGCATTCCTCTCCGATTTAGCATTTTCAGATTCTCTCTCCTCCAAAGCTTCTATCAATGGCTGAATCTGGTAAAAATCAGCTTCTCTCTTCAGGAGACCAACTTCCTGGAAATCATCAGGGAGGTCAAGGTTTGAGCTGCGTAGAAAATTTAGAATGTATCGAAATATTTTCCCATCTCGATCAATGAAGAAATTACCATGCTGATCACTGGTAGAGGGAAATTTCCCACTGAACATCACACCCAGCATTGAGTCTGGATAACGTGTTAAAGTCGCCAGAGAACTGGTGTATAGTTTTCCTCCTACATTTAACGTTATTGGATCGGTCATGCTGAATTGACAGCAAACTGTATCTTATTTCCTTATGATCTGTTGTAAAGAAAAAGTAAAGGGTGGAAAATAAGTTTGTGGAAAACAACATTTGTGTTTAATGCAAAATCAAAGCATTCTACACTAAGCAGAATAACATTCACTAACTCCCAAGGCTAACCATGTTCACTCCAGCGAGATAGCCCTCACCCACTCCACCTACCTCACAATATGCACCTATACTTCAGAATAAACATCTTTGGGTCTGCCACTGTGTCAAATCTGAGTACAACTCAAGTAAATAATTTAACCACAGTTTCATAGAGATTTATTGAATATCCAAAGGGTAAAAATCTCAAAACCTGTAAAACTTTCAATTTTATTTATCAATCTTGCAGGACAAAGCTGCAATTTTGATCACTAAACAATGCTAGTATTCTTTAACAAGATAACACTTTCGAGACCATTTTTTAAAAAATGAAATACAACATTTTTGTAAAAATTGTTATACAAAAGGGAAAAAGTAATTTGTGAAAACTACTACCGTAGTTCTCTAATTTAAAAGGGTTTTGAATATTAAGTTGAAGTTTTTGTTTGTCCAAACATTTACATTTTCTTTTAATATGAATAACATGCATTACGTCCTTGGTAGGCTCCGGAATGCCACCCCACGTGAAGGGCGCTATATAAATGCAAGTTGTTGTAGGTAGGCTATGCATTTTTAAATGCACGTAAATGTCAGGAATTTGGGGGGCATTGATCAACAGACTAGCTGCAAAATATTTTTTCGTGTTGTCCCATCTTTCTAGAAAGTACATATTTGAGATATGATCCATAGCCCTACCCACGTCTTTCCCTTATTGTTCTAGGAAAGGAACAAAATTGACGTAGGAATATAGGAATGTACAAGACCAGAAAAAAACAGTAGAGTCAATCTGGTTAGCTTCAAACTAAAATACTTCAGACACTACTCTCTTTCTCATGCTCAAGAAAAGGCTGTCCAATTCCTTCTTGAATTTGCTGACCCAAGCTGCTGGATCGTCTGTGGTACATATTCAGATTTTGTGTAAAGTAGTTGCATCTAAACTGTCCATCAATCTTCTTAAAGATTGTTTTTACTATGTTAAATATATTATTATGGATCAATTTATATAAACACTTTATGTTCTTAAATACTTCACAAGATCGCAAGATAGATTTGGATGAAGAAGGAACTTTGGCCCACCTGATCTCATCCCTCCAGAATACCCATCCTACCATTCTCCCATCACAGCATCAAGCTGCTTGATTAAAAGAATCTATCATCCTGGCCTCAACCATCCAATATCCTGAGCCTTCTCTTCTCCAATGTGTATATTCCAGTCTATCCTTCTTGGAGGGCCAAAGCTCTAACAGGTAGGGTGGACCTAGCTGGACAAATAGCAGGAAAACTCACCATACAGTGCTTTCAATGGCAAGCTATGCGGTTTTAACTGGTTAAACTCCAGCAGTCTGCCAAAACACACTCTCGGATCCCCAAGTCTTCACTCTTTACTAGGCTGGCCTAGTGCTCTCCAGAATTAGGCACACATTCCATTCCAATAAATTTCCATGTGTACGTGTGTAACTAGGATGCATCGAACTCTCAGTTTTGTTTGGATTCTTAAACATGGTGATGGGTTTCTGCATATGTCAAAAGATTTTGTAGTCTCTCATCCCAATTCAAGGAGCTTGCCTTAACTATTAATTTAGTTGCCCTCTAAAAAGTTGGGTCTGGGTCATCACAAATAAAGCGCTTCACTTGTAAAATGCACTTCTTACACTCAAACGTTTCTTCAACGAAGCAATGAATTCAATAAACTTGCAACGATCCAAAGAAGAGTCCAACCTTCTTTGAACCCGTTTGCAAACTTGTTCTTATCAAAATTACAATCTTGCAATATTGCTTTTACTGTGGAAGTAAAAGTGTCATCGCGTGGCTGCCAGTAATTAAACAGGCCAACACATGGCACCAAGCTGCTTGCTTGTTTATTGTTGTTATTACTCTGTACCTCAATCAGATATCAGACCAGAATACTGGAATCAGCATTTAATCATTGCCTTTCCCCACAATACTCAGTTAGGGAAGTTGCTATTACTTGTAATGAAACTTTAAAGCTGTGAGAAGCCCCTGTGACTCTCAGCATTCCTGGACATCCAAAAGGCATCTGACAAACCACCACATGAAAAAGCTGCTTCACCAGTTGGTGTGCCTGGGCGGGCATCAGGGACCAGACCTGGAAGTTACACTGAGCACAGGGAGCAATAACAAAAATGTGATATTGCACATGACCGCACCATTGGAATTTCTCAAAGTGCTTCATAGGATTTACTGTAAAGCAAATTCAATATGATATTAAACACAGGACCACACAGCAAACCATTTGCACACAGCCGTGTCCCTCCCGTAAAAGCTGCCACACAGTGAGGGAGGGAGTGAGTGAGTGAGTGAGTGAGTGAGTGGATGGGTGAGTGAGTGAGTGAGTGAGTGGGTGGGTGGGTGGGTGGGTGGATGAGTGAGTGGTGGGTGGGTGGGTGGGTGAGTGAGTGAGTGAGTGAGTGAGTGAGTGAGTGAGTGAGTGAGTGGGTGGGTGAGTGGGTGGGTGGGTGGGTGGGTGGGTGAGTGGGTGGGTGGGTGAGTGGGTGAGTGAGTGAGTGAGTGAGTGAGTGGGTGGGTGAGTGAGTGGGTGAGTGGGTGAGTGGGTGGGTGGGTGAGTGGTGGGTGGGTGGGTGAGTGGGTGGGTGGGTGGGTGAGTGAGTGAGTGAGTGAGTGAGTGAGTGAGTGAGTGAGTGAGTGAGTGGGTGAGTGAGTGAGTGAGTGGTGGGTGGGTGAGTGAGTGAGTGGGTGAGTGAGTGGGTGGGTGAGTGAGTGGGGGTGGGTGGGTGAGTGAGTGGGTGGGTGGGTGGTGGGTGGGTGAGTGAGTGAGTGGGTGGGTGGTGGGTGGGTGGGTGAGTGAGTGAGTGAGTGAGTGGTGGGTGGGTGGGTGAGTGAGTGGTGAGTGAGTGGGTGGGTGGTTGAGTGGGTGAGTGAGTGAGTGGTGGGTGGGTGGGTGAGTGAGTGAGTGAGTGGGTGGGTGGGTGGGTGAGTGGGTGGTTGGGTGGGTGAGTGAGTGGGTGAGTGGGTGAGTGGGTGGGTGGGTGGGTGAGTGGGTGAGTGGGTGAGTGAGTGAGTGGGTGGGTGGGTGGGTGAGTGAGTGGGTGGGTGGGTTGGTGAGTGGGTGAGTGAGTGAGTGAGTGAGTGAGTGAGTGGGTGAGTGAGTGAGTGGGTGAGTGAGTGAGTGAGTGAGTGAGTGAGTGAGTGAGTGAGTGGGTGAGTGAGTGAGTGGGTGAGTGAGTGAGTGGGTGAGTGAGTGAGTGGGTGAGTGAGTGAGTGGGTGAGTGAGTGAGTGAGTGAGTGAGTGGGTGAGTGAGTGAGTGGGTGAGTGAGTGAGTGGGTGAGTGAGTGAGTGGGTGAGTGAGTGAGTGGGTGAGTGAGTGGGTGAGTGAGTGAGTGGAGTGAGTGAGTGAGTGGGTGAGTGAGTGAGTGAGTGAGTGGGTGAGTGAGTGAGTGGGTGAGTGAGTGAGTGGGTGAGTGAGTGAGTGGGTGAGTGAGTGAGTGGGTGAGTGAGTGAGTGAGTGGGTGGGTGAGTGGGTGGGTGAGTGAGTGGGTGAGTGGGTGAGTGGGTGTGTGTGAGTGAGTGAGTGGGTGGGTGAGTGGGTGAGTGAGTGAGTGGGTGAGTGAGTGAGTGGGTGAGTGAGTGAGTGAGTGGGTGAGTGAGTGGGTGAGTGAGTGAGTGGGTGAGTGAGTGAGTGAGTGGGTGAGTGGGTGGGTGAGTGAGTGAGTGGGTGAGTGAGTGAGTGAGTGAGTGAGTGGGTGAGTGGGTGGGTGAGTGAGTGAGTGAGTGAGTGAGTGGGTGAGTGAGTGGGTGGGTGAGTGAGTGAGTGAGTAAGTGAGTGAGTGAGTGGGTGGGTGAGTGAGTGAGTGAGTGTGTGGGTGAGTGAGTGAGTGGGTGGGTGGGTGAGTGAGTGAGTGAGTGAGTGAGAGTGAGTGAGTGAGTGAGTGAGTGAGTGAGTGGGTGGGTGAGTGAGTGAGTGAGTGAGTGGGTGAGTGGGTGGGTGGGTGAGTGAGTGAGTGAGTGGTGGGTGGGTGAGTGAGTGGGTGAGTGAGTGAGTGGGTGAGTGAGTGAGTGAGTGAGTGGGTGAGTGAGTGGGTGGGTGGGTGGGTGAGTGAGTGAGTGAGTGGGTGGGTGAGTGAGTGAGTGAGTGAGTGGGTGAGTGAGTGAGTGGGTGGGTGAGTGAGTGAGTGAGTGAGTGGGTGGGTGGGTGGGTGAGTGAGTGAGTGAGTGAGTGAGTGAGTGGGTGGGTGAGTGAGTGAGTGAGTGAGTGAGTGAGTGGGTGGGTGAGTGAGTGAGTGAGTGGGTGAGTGGGTGAGTGAGTGAGTGAGTGGGTGAGTGAGTGAGTGGGTGAGTGAGTGAGTGGGTGAGTGAGTGGGTGGGTGAGTGAGTGAGTGAGTGGGTGAGTGAGTGGGTGAGTGGGTGAGTGAGTGAGTGAGTGAGTGGGTGGGTGAGTGGGTGAGTGAGTGAGTGAGTGAGTGGGTGGGTGAGTGAGTGAGTGAGTGAGTGGGTGGGTGGGTGGGTGAGTGGGTGAGTGAGTGAGTGGGTGAGTGAGTGAGTGAGTGAGTGAGAGGGTGAGTGAGTGCGTGAGTGAGTGGGTGAGTGTGAGTGAGTGGGTGAGTGAGTGTGAGTGGGTGTGTGAGTGAGTGGGTGAGTGAGTGGGTGAGTGAGTGGGTGAGTGAGTGAGTGGGTGAGTGAGTGGGTGAGTGAGTGAGTGTGTGAGTGAGTGGGTGAGTGGGTGGGTGGGTGAGTGAGTGAGTGAGTGAGTGGGTGGGTGGGTGAGTGGGTGAGTGAGTGGGTGAGTGAGTGAGTGGGTGAGTGAGTGGGTGAGTGAGTGAGTGGGTGAGTGGGTGAGTGAGTGAGTGAGTGGGTGGGTGAGTGGGTGAGTGAGTGGGTGGGTGGGTGAGTGAGTGGGTGAGTGAGTGAGTGGGTGGGTGAGTGAGTGAGTGGGTGGGTGAGTGAGTGAGTGGGTGAGTGGGTGAGTGAGTGAGTGAGTGGGTGGGTGAGTGGGTGAGTGGGTGGGTGAGTGAGTGGGTGAGTGGGTGGGTGAGTGAGTGAGTGGGTGAGTGGGTGAGTGGGTGAGTGAGTGGGTGGGTGAGTGAGTGAGTGAGTGAGTGAGTGAGTGGGTGGGTGAGTGAGTGAGTGAGTGAGTGAGTGAGTGAGTGAGTGAGTGAGTGAGTGAGTGAGTGAGTGAGTGAGTGGGTGGGTGAGTGAGTGGGTGGGTGAGTGAGTGAGTGAGTGAGTGGGTGGGTGGGTGAGTGAGTGAGTGAGTGAGTGAGTGGGTGAGTGAGTGAGTGAGTGAGTGAGTGAGTGAGTGGGTGGGTGAGTGGGTGAGTGAGTGAGTGAGTGAGTGGGTGAGTGAGTGAGTGAGTGGGTGAGTGAGTGAGTGTGTGTGAGTGAGTGGGTGAGTGAGTGGGTGGGTGAGTGAGTGAGTGTGAGTGAGTGGGTGAGTGAGTGGGTGAGTGAGTGGGTGAGTGGGTGAGTGAGTGGGTGAGTGAGTGAGTGAGTGGGTGGGTGAGTGGGTGAGTGAGTGAGTGAGTGGGTGGGTGGGTGAGTGAGTGAGTGAGTGAGTGGGTGGGTGGGTGAGTGGGTGAGTGAGTGGGTGAGTGAGTGAGTGAGTGAGTGAGAGGGTGAGTGAGTGAGTGAGTGAGTGAGTGGGTGGGTGGGTGAGTGAGTGGGTGGGTGAGTGAGTGAGTGGGTGAGTGAGTGGGTGAGTGAGTGAGTGGGTGAGTGAGTGGGTGAGTGAGTGAGTGTGTGAGTGAGTGGGTGAGTGAGTGAGTGGGTGAGTGGGTGGGTGGGTGAGTGAGTGAGTGAGTGAGTGAGTGAGTGGGTGGGTGAGTGGGTGAGTGAGTGGGTGAGTGAGTGAGTGGGTGAGTGGGTGAGTGGGTGAGTGAGTGAGTGAGTGGGTGGGTGAGTGGGTGAGTGAGTGGGTGGGTGAGTGAGTGGGTGAGTGAGTGAGTGAGTGGGTGAGTGAGTGAGTGGGTGAGTGAGTGAGTGGGTGAGTGAGTGGGTGGGTGAGTGAGTGAGTGAGTGGGTGAGTGAGTGGGTGAGTGGGTGAGTGAGTGGGTGAGTGAGTGAGTGAGTGGGTGGGTGAGTGGGTGAGTGAGTGAGTGAGTGGGTGGGTGGGTGAGTGAGTGAGTGAGTGAGTGAGTGGGTGGGTGGGTGAGTGGGTGAGTGAGTGAGTGGGTGAGTGAGTGAGTGAGTGAGTGAGAGGGTGAGTGAGTGAGTGAGTGAGTGGGTGGGTGGGTGAGTGAGTGGGTGAGTGAGTGGGTGGGTGTGTGAGTGAGTGAGTGGGTGAGTGAGTGGGTGAGTGAGTGGGTGAGTGAGTGAGTGAGTGGGTGAGTGAGTGGGTGAGTGAGTGAGTGTGTGAGTGAGTGGGTGAGTGGGTGGGTGGGTGAGTGAGTGAGTGAGTGGGTGGGTGGGTGAGTGGGTGAGTGAGTGGGTGAGTGAGTGAGTGGGTGAGTGAGTGGGTGAGTGAGTGAGTGGGTGAGTGGGTGAGTGAGTGAGTGAGTGGGTGGGTGAGTGGGTGAGTGAGTGGGTGGGTGGGTGAGTGAGTGGGTGAGTGAGTGAGTGAGTGGGTGGGTGAGTGAGTGAGTGAGTGGGTGGGTGAGTGAGTGAGTGGGTGAGTGGGTGAGTGAGTGAGTGAGTGGGTGGGTGAGTGGGTGAGTGGGTGGGTGAGTGAGTGGGTGAGTGGGTGGGTGAGTGAGTGAGTGGGTGAGTGGGTGAGTGGGTGAGTGAGTGGGTGGGTGAGTGAGTGAGTGGGTGGGTGAGTGAGTGAGTGAGTGAGTGAGTGAGTGAGTGAGTGAGTGTGTGGGTGGGTGAGTGAGTGGGTGGGTGAGTGAGTGAGTGAGTGGGTGGGTGGGTGGGTGGGTGAGTGAGTGAGTGGGTGGGTGGGTGGGTGGGTGGGTGGGTGAGTGAGTGAGTGAGTGAGTGAGTGAGTGAGTGGGTGGGTGAGTGAGTGAGTGAGTGGGTGGGTGAGTGAGTGAGTGAGTGAGTGAGTGAGTGAGTGGGTGAGTGAGTGGGTGAGTGAGTGGGTGAGTGAGTGAGTGAGTGGGTGAGTGGGTGAGTGAGTGGGTGAGTGAGTGAGTGAGTGGGTGGGTGAGTGGGTGCGTGAGTGGGTGGGTGGGTGAGTGAGTGGGTGAGTGAGTGAGTGAGTGAGTGGGTGGGTGGGTGAGTGAGTGAGTGAGTGAGTGAGTGAGTGAGTGGGTGGGTGAGTGAGTGAGTGGGTGAGTGAGTGAGTGAGTGAGTGAGTGAGTGAGTGAGTGAGTGAGTGGGTGAGTGAGTGGGTGAGTGAGTGAGTGGGTGAGTGAGTGAGTGGGTGAGTGAGTGAGTGAGTGAGTGGCATTGCCTGTGGCTGATTCTTGGCCGAGGCGCTGCACCAAACTTTCTTCTTTCTCCCAACCGGGTCTCCCATTGGAAAGATCACTGGACATTACGGGCTCCAAAGCCGCTGCCAACCGCGTCACACGGGTGAGCAGAGCCGCGGCCGCGGCCTCGCGGAGCACCGAGAGAGAGACCCCAATCAATCCGCAAACCCTTCAGAGCCCCTCCGTGCAATCGCAGTGGGGGATCTGCTCCACAGTGACAACCCCCATCACCTCCAGCGCTCAACACGTCCCCCTCCCCCTCCCCCCCCCCCACCGCGGGGACCCGGGACCACTCTCCAGCCTCACCACTGCAGCGTCCTCCCCACACCGCCCTCTGCAAAATCCTCTCCCCCCGACCCGACCCGACCCGACCCGACCGGTCCTCCCGGGGACAGCCCGTGATTCCTGGGACTTGGGAGTTCTCACCGACAGTGTTGACGTGATCTGATCCCCCGTCTCCTCAAACAGGAACCACAACCCCCGATCGCACGAGGCTCCGCCGCTCGGCCCCAGAGCCCCGGGCACAGGGCACAGGGCTGTGTGTAGGATTGTGGGAGTTGTCGTCCACGGCTTCTCTGCCGGTGGTTCGCTTCCGATCAGACGGTGGTAAACCCGTTATAAAGCCCAGAAACATGAGACCACTTGGTTCTTCCGAAATATAATGTGTGCGGTAACGTGGACACCAACACACCATTAAAGTTATGCATCCAGACTCCCTCCTCTCACTCTCTCTGAAAATACCCATCCCTCCACCACCCATCCCTACACCACCCATCCTTCCACCACCTTCACCCTCATCCCTATACCACCCATCCCTCCACCACCTTCACCCTCATCCCTACACCACCCATCCCCCACCACCCATCCCTACACCACCTTCACCCTCATCCCTACACCACCCAACGAGGGGTGGGGTCGGGGCGGGGGGTGGGGTGGGCGGTGCGGGAGGTGGGGTGGGCGGTGCGGGGGTGGGGTGGCGGTGCGGGGTGGGGTCGGGGCGGGGGTGGGCGGGGCGGGGGGGGTGGGCGGGGGTGGGCGATGCGGGGTGGGGTCGGGGCGGGGGGTGGGCGGGGCGGGGGGGTGGGCGGGGGGTGGGCGGTGCGGGGTGGGGTCGGGGCGGGGGTGGGCGGGGGGGTGGGCGGGGGGTGGGCGGTGCGGGGTGGGGTCGGGGCTGCACCCACTCGCACACACTGGGCCGGAGGTTGTGAGCACGTAATCTCCGAACCACCACCACCACCGAAGGGTTGTGGGCGGGGCTAATGTATCAGCGTCGTGATTTGATTGGTGACTTGGAGTTCTGTGGGCGGGGCAATGCGTGTGGTGAGACCCCGCCCTCGGGCTTCATGTCTGTCGTGTATCTGATGGCTCAACAACAACAACAACAGCAGCTGCAATAATAATTATCCTGAGTTTAACGACTCCGGGAGCAAATCCTACTGTGATTCTTTGTGTAATCAAACTACAGTGAATTTGATAACAAACTGTGGTTGAAATAAGTTGATTTGTCCATAGCAGAGCTAACAAATAAAATCCGCCTAAATACTAAAAACATTAAATATGAATAAGAAATTGCAGGTTACAATGCATACAAGTGAGTAATAAATAATAAAATAATAATGATGATTGAAAGCACGGTCAAAGAGGTGGGCCTTGAGATGGGTCTTGAAAAAGGCAAAGGAGGGGGTGAGACGGAGGGACTGCGGGATGGAGTTCCAGAGGGTGGGGGCAGAGTGGCAGAAGGCCCGCCCGCCAATGGTGGGGCGGGTGAGGCGGGGAACGTGAAGCAAGTCAGACCTGTTGAATGGAGGGAGTGGGCAGAATGGTAGGGGGTTCGGAAGTTGCAGAGGTAGGGGGGAGCGAGACCATGGAGGGCTTTGAAGGTGAGGACCAGGATTGTGAACTGTATTCTCTGTGTGATGGGAAGCCAGTGGAGTCCGGCGAGGATGGGAGTGATAGGGTCACAGAGCTTTGTGCGGGAGAAGACATGTGCTGCAGAGTTGTGGATGATCTGCAGCTTTTGGATGGAGGAGTTTCGGAGGCCGACAAGCAAGGAGTTTGCACAATCAAGCCTGGATGTTATGAATGCGTGTATGAGGGTTTTGGCAGCCTGTGGTGTGAGACTGTGGTGGAGCTGAGCAAAATTGTGGAGGTGGGCTAAGGCAGAGCAGATCATGGCACAGATGTGGGCTAGAAAGGATAGTTGAGGGTCAAATAAGACCCCAAGGTTCCAGACTGGCTTAGTAAGGTAGAGTGTGCATCCTTGGATGGTGATGCCTGAGGTGTGGAGGCGATGACGAGGGCCAATCAGGAGGGCCTCGGTCTTGTTGACGTTCAACTGAAGCAAGTTAGCTCTCATCCAGGACGTGATGTCTGACAGACATTCTGTGAGGATAGCAGTGGTCCTGGAGTCAAGGGTGAAGGCAGAGAGGTACAGTTGGGTGTCATCCATATGAATGCAGAAGTTGACCCCATGTCTACGGATGATGTCACCAAGAAGGAGCATATAGATATTGAAGGGGAGGGGACCAAGGACAGAGCCTTGAGGAAAACCGCACCAAGATGGTGCGGGGGCTAGAGAAGAATCCATTTCTGGAGATGAAGTGGAGCGGTTTGAGATATGATCTAAACAATCAAGGACAGAACCATGAAGGTTGAGGTGAGAGAAGAGGTGGTGGATGGGGATAGAGTGATCAACAATGTCAAAGGCAGCAGAAAGGTCAAGGAGGTTGAGGAGGCAGAGGGAACCCTGGTCACAGACGGACAGAATGTCATTTGTCACTTTGAGCAGAACTGTTTCTGTGTTATCCGATTGGAGGGGTTCATGAAGGCAGTGGCGGGAAAGGAAAGAGCAAAGCTGGGAAGTAACAACTCGTTGGAGGTTGGAGAGCAGGAATGAGTCCAGGGAGGTTTTCTTTAAAGGATAGGAGTGATGATGGCTGTTTTTAAAGGGGTGCCTTTCTGCCTTCCCTCACCCCTACACCACCCTCCCCCATGCTCAGGCCTGCTGCTGCTGGAGTTCCCAGCTCCACAACTCCACCTCCTTGCCCCTCTATTCATAGACATCATAAACCTGTCACAGGTGCTGCTGCTGGGAGGTAAGGAGAGGGGTAGGGATGGGGTCGAAGGAGCAGGTGGTCGGTTTCATGCAGGTTATAGTGGTGGTGAGAGAGGAGTGGGAGACTGGTTCGAAGGTAGGGAGGGATAGGGGGTGGGGTGTGTTGGGGAGGAGATAGAAGACGGAAGGGCAGAGGCCTTTTTTTGTGGGTGAACATGGCAGTCCAATTCCACGTAGTAATGTCCCACAAATAGCCATGAAATGATTGACCAATTTTTATTTGAGGAATATTGACCAGGATACCAGAAGAAATTCTTGTCTAGAGGGGGTGAGAAAGAGACAGAGAGAGGGGAGATTGAGAGAGAGCAATTGACAGAGAGTTTGAGAGGGGATAGTGTGTGAGAGATTAGAGAGAGTGTGATTGGGAGGTGGAGTGTGAGAGGAAAGAGAGAATGTGAGAGGGTGTGAGAAGGGTAGTGAGAGAGAGTAATTGAGAGAGAGTGTGTGTGTGAGAGAGAGCGAGAGAGTGCCTGAGAGAGGGGGAAAGTGTCCTCCCATTCTCCGTTCCCCATTCTCCGTCCCCTACCCTCCTCTCCCCACTCAATCTCCCCCATCTCCCTCACCACCTCGTCTCTCCACCCCACCTCTCCAACCCCCCCCCCCACCCTCCATCCCAAGCACAGGTCACTATCTGCAGGGGAAGGAGCCGATGGTTGGTTGCTAAGGCCGCAGATGGTAAGAGATGCGCTGGCCTTCCTGACGGACTCCAGCGAAGCCTCTGCACGCTGAGAACTCCCAACCGTGGCTCCTGTCGCTGCCCTGCGAGGACGTTCACCGGGGCGAAATGGTCTCGGGCCGGATGCGGCCCACAGACCTTTCACAAATAGGGAATGCGGCCCTTGGCAGCCAGAGGATTGGACCATTCCTGGCAACAGAGCATTAAGCAGAATTTGGCAACAAGAGGAGGTTTCGGACCTCAAAATATGTGTTGAGTACTGCTGGAGTTCAACCAATTAAAACCACAATAGCTGACATTGTCCACCAGGCTTCCTGCTGCCTGTCCAGCGTGGACCGTCCTACCTGTGGTGGGAATGATTCCCGAACCAGTGAACCTCACAGACCCGCCCCGGGGGAGACCACCGGTGGAGCCAACCCCGCGCCGCCCTGTGCAGCAGCCCCACAGGGTTGGGTGGGAGATGGTCCGCAGCAGAGCCGCGCACCGCTGGGCGGAGCAGCACGTGACTGGGGCGGGTGCCGGTGCAGGTGTGAGCGGCGGCTGTGACTGCGATGGGGGGGCGTCCGGTGGCGCTGTCTGTCGGGGGCTGCGCGTGAATGAATCGGGCGGCGGGTGCTGAGAGCCCCGGGGCTCGAGGCCGCCTCGTCACCACAGCAACCGGCGCCGGGAGGGAAGGCGGGCGGTGGGGGGGGGAGATGAGAGGCTCCGGCACGGCTGAGGGGGGGGGGGGAGGCTGTCTCCGCGCTGGGGGTCATTACAGGGCCGGTGGTGGCGGCGGCGGTTTGTTGTTGGGTTGGGAGTGCTGTGTGAAGGTGAGCCCCGCGGGGGGTGGTGGGGAGGTGTGTAATCGGCTCAGTGACTCCCCTCCTGCCCACCCGCTCGGGCCAAATCTGGCCGCTGCCGCCCACAGAAAGCCGCGGCGCCTTGGCCGCTCGCTTGGTGGGGCTGAGCCGGGGAGCGGTGGCCGCCCGCCCCCCCGCCCCTGGCCCGGCCGCCCCCCCCACCCCTGGCCCGGCCGCCCCCCCCCCCTGGCCCGGCCGCTCCCCCCCCCCCTGGCCCGGCCGCCCCCCCCCCCCCCCTGGCCCGGCCGCCCCCCCCTGGCCCGGCCGCCCCCCCCCCCGGGCCCGCCCCCCCCCCCCGGGCCCGGCCCCCCCCCCCCCCCCCTGCAGGCGGGGCGGACGGACCCGGTACGGCCACGGATTGGGAAGAGGTTTTGGGCGTTACTTTTCGTTCAGGTCCTAATTTCTTTCCTTCGGGAACCTGCGCCACACCGCAGCTATTCGCTAACAGTGCGGCTGATCTCACGTGCACTTAAACCCTCCTTCACTGACCGCTGATCGAGTCGCAGCCGAGGGTCGGGCGGTGGTTTATTTCCTCGGGTTTTATTATTATTTTTTTTGTGTGGCGTATTTTTTTTCATTCCGTTCAAATGTCCTTTCCGAAGAGACGCAGAAATTGTGTCCCACCGCGTCTTTACTGCTAAGACCGTTCGCTGAGTCATTCGACGTATTCTGTGAAGTTGCAGCGAATTGACAAATAACTTTTATTGCATTTTTTTAAAAAATTCTGCTTTCATTATTGGACGTTTAAAGTGACCCGACGTTTAGCCATTGAGTGACGAACTCTGCGCTTGCGGTTTAATTGAACGAAACGCCTTTTTTTCCGGAGTACATACGTGAGTTTGTTTTCCAATTTCATGATTTGTGTTCGAAGCTGAAGGTTTACAAGTGCTCTCAGTGGAATATGTTTGATGAGACCATAGATTTATCTCCGAGGTGTGTTATATCTTCCAATCGATGTTTAATTTGTCCATTTTTTTTTAGTTCCATTCATCGTCAATGTCACACAATTGTTTTCACTGGAATTCTAATCCCAACTCTTGTCCGATCTGCCTGTGAGTGTATATATCCTCTTCCTCCCTTACCCTCTGGGTGTAGTGGTTAATGCTGGAGTATGGTCCTCTCGGAAAGGCGTCTCTTGAGTAAGTGATCCTTATTTTCAAAAGGATTCTGAGTGTTGATGGATGAATCATCTGTCGGTGTGGGGACGAGCTGCCAGTGCTGACTCACGGTGGGCTATAATTCCCCTGTGGTGCAGACCTGCTGGAGACCTCGCCCAGGTAACCACTCTCCTCCGTGCATCAGGTTACACAGAAGTTTTGTCAGCCATTTGCCCGAGGAGGACACAGCTGAGCCCGAGAGGTTCTCGTGCAAAATTCACTCACCAGCAAAGACAACTGGAAAGGTGCTCTGATAGCTTTGCTTCTCTCTTGCCAGCTCTACCCCAGAAATATAATAACATAGAGGTCATGGTTAAGTCCCCGCTGTCCTCCAGCTGTGCAGTTGCACAGATTGTAATTCATTTTAGCTTTATAGACTCGTTTTATTCTCTTACTTTTTTTACACACCGAGCCATGTGTTAAACGACAGAGCATTAGGAAACTATAATTGAATTTGAATAAAATCTTGTATGTATTAAACAATTTTTAAAAAAACTGAGGAAATTGTGAAATTAATCGAAACATTTTGTTATAGATTCCAAAGACATGGACAGGATATTGGAAGCCATGATGGTGTCGCATCATCCAATTTCTGTGAAGCATTGCCTTGTGAGGCGTATGTTAGAAGCAGCAAAGCAGCCATTGGACAGTGGCCAATGTTGTGCCATGTTCGAGTTATCTATAAAACTAATTCTCCTTGGTGACACTAAATTCAAAAGGGATGTGGGTAAGGAGGTTCTAAGGGCCTTTGCTGAAAACCATGGAGCAGAGTTTGAAAAATTCTTTAATGTGAGTTTCATCTTGAAATTGCTGCAAGATGGTTATGGAACACTAAGTAGAAGAAACATTGGTGTATTGGAATGCATTCAGTTAGGATTGAAGTATATTGAAGACAGTGATTCGGCTTATCGAGTGTTTCAGGCCCTTCAAATTGAGCTGCTTCGAATAGTGTGTGAAAGGCCTGGACCCAAGCTTTGTGCAACACTTTGTAAACTTCTTTCTGAATTTCCTCAATCGATTCCGAGTGGGAAACTTCAAGTGGTGTTCTGTCAACAACTTGTTAGAAGTATAGGACAGTTCCAGTGTAGATCCAATGGGGAGGATGAAATAGTGGAATACCTGGAGCAGGTAACCAGAATTAGCAGATTGCTGCAGAAAATATGGACAATTCAAGCTGCAGTCATCATTCCATCCTTGCGAGAGCTGTTCATAGTTATTTCAACAACAGGTATGGCAAAATATTTGATCAATTCTAAAGTTTTGTTTTACAGATTTCTATTGTTTGTAGTTTTTTTTCCCCCTGTGGCTCCATGTGCCATGTACAAGTGAGTGGGTGAGGCAGGTGAGGAATGACTCTTGCACATTTCAACCTCAAATGATCACCAGAAGCTCCATTTCATGCACAGAGGAGTGAGTGAGTGAGTGAAGCAGATTGTGTGTGTGAGTGTGTGCTGCGTGGCTGAGACTCGGAACTTGATTGTGTGGAGGGAATTAATGTAAGTTGATCCCAAATTAGAACATGCTTGTGGGAGGCAGAAACCTGAACTGGAATGTAAAGATCCTAACTTTTAACGGTAGCAATCTATGTGTGTGTGTGTGTGTGTGTATATATATATATATGTATGTATGCATATGTGTGTATGTGTGTGTGCATATATATATATACTAGCTGTATCCGTTGCAGCTTCACTTGCAGCCAAAAGATCCAATATGGAATATAGATTGACACACACAGACAGACATTTCATCCTTATCTATACTCATCTGAGAGGACTCCTGTGGGAGGACTCCCTTTGGGAGAAATCAGTGGGAGAACTTGGTGCTTTAAAAATGTAATTTTGTTGTTGCCGCGGCTTAGCTTCGCTTGTGTTCTTTATTTTGTTCCCGCCACTTAGCTACGTGCATGCTCTGTGACGCAGGAAACCACAGCGCCATGGTCATCTGGCACGGCCACCAGGTGTAAATGCAGTGTGTGTGTACATACGTAAGTGCTCTGTGACGCATGATGCCACAGCGCCACTTTGAATCATTCCCAGTTTTGTAATCTTGTGGGCGTTTTTTTCTCACCTGCAAAGCAGTTTCTTTTTTTAAAAAAAAGTTTATTTAAAGGGGAAAACTTTACAATTTTACTGCCTAAAACTATAATTTATTTGCTTTTTTGATATCAAAAAAAGTATTCAGAATGAAATGAGGCCGAGGAAAAGATTGCGACAATATTTGATGCATAATTCTAACAATTGAATACTTAATGAAAACCCCAAATAAAACCTTGTGCCTAATCCTCTAAATCTCCAATTTGTGAGTCCTGGAGCTTATTGGTTAGAGCACTTGCCTCACAAGCGAGAGGACCTGGGTTCAATTCCCACTCAGAGCGAAACCTCAGGCAAGTTTCCTTATTCCACACACCTCTTACCTAGCAGTAAGTTGGAACCAGGTTGTTAGTCAATATCACTTTCTGGGGTTAATAATACCTTAAAAAAAATTGGACTCTCAATCCACGACTGTTTGTGGGACACTGTGCAATTGGCTGCCGCGTTTCACCCATAAAATACAGTCAATTCACTTTACAGTATATTCTGTGAGGCACTTTGAGATGTCTCAATGATGTGATAACAACAAGATTTCATTTATACAGCGCCTTTCACGTCGGGAGGACATCCCAAGGCGCTGGACAGTTGGGTTGGGACCCGAGCAGGGGGGAAATGGTCAGGGTGAGGGGAGGGAAGGGAGGGAGCGAGGAAGGGGTAGAGAGTCGAGAGGGGAGCTGAAGGCACGAGGCATTATATCAAATGCAAGGATTATTTTTATTTATCTTTTGACTCAGCGGCCACCAGGTGTAACTACAGCGAAAAACGCCAAACTGAAAATAACTCATGACCAATAGGAATTATCCAAAAACAAATATGCCCATGTCACTCTAAGGTGCAAGACCTTTCGATGAGGTAGAAATCATGTCTCTACGTCAATCAATTATTGAAATCCTTCTTGAAGCGCAGAAACCTGATCTCCCCTATAATTTTTTATGTATATATTATATATATAAAAAATAGTGTCACATTGAGATGATTCCTTAAAGCGTTTAGCTCAGCTGCCTGGGAATCTGAGCGGGGATTGTGGGAGAGTGAAAGCGACAGACAATGAGGTTGAACACTTGGGGAGGAAACTGGTGAGGGATGAAATTCCAGAGAGCAAGGGCAGAATGGCTAGAAGCTTTCCCACCAATGGTGGAGGATCAGTCAGGGACATGAAGCAAGCTGGTGTTAGCTGAGTGGAGAGAGCAGTCATCGTGAGATTACGGAGGTAAGGTTGGGTGAGGCCATGAAGGGTTAGGGTTAATAATAATAATAATCCTTGCATTTGATATAGCGGTTTTCACGTCGGGAGGACGTCCCAAAGCGCTTCACAGAATATACTGTAAAGTGAATTTGTGGGCGAACGCGGCAGCCAATTGCGCACAGCAATGTCCCACAAACAGTTGTAGATTGAAAATGACCAATTTATTATTGTTTTTGGTTTTTTGGAGGGATTATTATTAGGTGTGTGGAGTAAGGAAACTTGCCCAAGGTTTCGCCCTCTGCCTGGAATTGAACTCAGGTCTCTCGCTTGCAAAGCGAGTGCTCTAACCACTGAGCTGCAGGACTCCACAATGAGTTATCTCTCTGGTGGTCTGACAAAGTCCTGTTTTAAGCAAAGATGGTAGCCACACTCTTGATTTGATTGATTTCCCAATTGATTCTGGCTTGACAGCTGCTGTTTTTTATATGCACAAGATGTGCTTATGAAGCTCAAATTGGGAACTGGGCAGAACAAGACTAAATTTTGCATTTCTCTGTTCTTTTGAGTATTAGAATGGAAAGTGCTTCTGCAATGTGCTTATTTAAAATACATAATCATTGCTACGATGAGAAGTAAAGCTCCCGGTGGTCATTTGAGGTTGAAATTAATTTACAGTGTGATGTTTAGACTGGTATTTGATTTTGAAAGGTTTCTTGCTGCCAATGGATTCAGAAAGTGGGGAAATACGGTACTGACATTAGTCACCTTAACCACAAAAACTGACCTTTTAGCATTGTTGAATACGATTTCTTAAACGGAAAATCATTTGTTTCAAAAATACACGGGCTACTTTCGATCTAAGACAAAACGGTCATAAATAATCTACTATTTAAAGAATCCAGGAAGCCTTTGCACTGTTACCAGTTTTCTTGCGAGGTGAATCATTCCACAGATGTCTATCATTCCTGAGTCAGTGAATTGTTCAGTTTTATATTGAAGAGCCAGTTATTGAAAGTTGACTGTTTATGGACTACAAATAACTCAGCAGTTGTGGAGTGCTATAAGTACTAATATACGTGATTAACAATGCAGCAAAATTGGACTCTGGATTTGTTGGAGGGGATTCCTTATAAATCTTTGAATTTTGCTTTAGGGTGGGGTATGTCTGTGCTGAAGAACAAAACATCCTCCCAATTTTCCACCCAGTATCAGTCTGAAGGTCTTAAAGGTCAGTTTAAATGAGGCTAAAACTCCATACACACCAGCAGTGCAGAGATTTGTCTACAGTAACTTTCTTTTTTAATAACCATTGTCTTTTTCTCATAATACTAAAAAGTTTTGATTTAATTTCTTAGTTTTGTCTTAACAATTGTTTTGTAGAGGAAATAGGTAAGAATGGAAAGTCAGGGTTGAGACTTTTCAGAGAATGAGGAATAACCCCAAGTAAGCACAGTTGCAGAGCTTACGTTAAGAATTTGTTGCTTTGACTACCATGTCCTGAAACAAACCAGACGATTTACTTAGATTGACTGCTGTTAACGTTAATAGCGACGAGCAAGTGTTTATTGTAAATTTAAATACATAGCTCTAAAATAGCCACTGGCTTTTAACTAATAGACTTTCATTGGAGGTGGGGGTGCGGTGGATAATATAATTTAATAAATTTACTGTTTCAAAGAACTTAATTTTTTATTTTTAATGAATATTTTACAGAAGGATCTGATGGGCCATCAAACGCACTGGCTGCAGTGGTCCAGTATGTTCCATTAGAATTCCTCGATGGAGTCATTCGAAACTTGACCAATGATGATTCTATCACAGATGCAGAGCTGATGACTGCTCTTGAGAAGTAAGACTATTGTTTGGATAGTTAGTGAGTACAATAGAGTTGAGCATGCATGGGAACGTAAACTAGAATAGGAATGTGCAACATCTTGGAACAGTAGAATACAACAACATATTTTATAGCACCTTTCACGCAGGGAGGTTGTCCAAGGTGCTGGACAATCAGGGATTTGGACCTGAGCAGGGTGTTGGGATCAGGTGGGGTAGAGGGCAGGGAGGGTGACCAAAGGCATGGTCAAAGAGGAGGGTCTTGAGATGTGCCTTGAGGGAGCAAGGCAAATGGATTATGGGATGGCATTCCAAAAGGTGGGGGCAGAGAGGCTGAAGACCCAACCGCTGATGGTGGGGCGGGCCGTGAGGGGGACGGGGAGCAGGCTGGAGCCTGCTGAGCAGCCTACACCCATGGTTATTTCTTCACCCCCTTGATCTCAGCTACACTATAAGTGGAGTCCTGTAGCTCAGTGGTTAGAGCACTCGCTTTGCAAGTGAGAGACCTGAGTTCAATTCCAGGCAGAGGGCGAAACCTTGGGCAAGTTTCCTTACTCCACACGCCTAATAATAATCCCTCCAAAACCAAAAACAATAATTAAATTGGTCATTTTCAATCTATGACTGTTTGTGGGACATTGCTGTGCGCAATTGGCTGCCGCGTTCGCCCACAAATATACAGTCAACTCACTTTACAGTATATTCTGTGAAGCGCTTTGGGACGTCTTCCCGACGTGAAAAAGCGCTATATCAAATGCAAGGATTATTATTATTATAAGTGGTCAAGTGAAGGATTCGTAATGGCATAGAGGATCTAAAAATGAGGGAAAGTTTTACTAAGAACAGTACTTTGCACTGCATCTCCTTAATTCAATTAGATGAATCAATTATTAACTGAGTAGATTTTAGGCCTTTTCTGTATCTTAAATGCTCCAATCAATCTGTTTTTAAAAAGAAATGTCTCATTTTTATATTGGCTCTACACAGTTGTTACTGGATAAAACAGTATCTAATCAGATCATGCACAGTGTTGACTGCTTTTTTTTAAAAAAAAGTTCTCATTTAACATTTTATCTTTGGTAAATAGTTCCCTGCAATCTACTCTTCCTCAGGTGAAAAGGTTGACAATGTAAATCTAATTCTATGATTAAGCACATATCTAATTTTCTAATGGAATCTATATAATAGAATATGGGAGAATAAATACTTCAGAATATCAGATCACATTTTACAGTTCAGAAATAAACCTGTGGACTCTTCCCTTGGGAATATTGTGTCTTACCCCCTTTCTCCACTTTGAATGCAATAGCATCTATTTTCTTAGAGATTTGAATTCTTTGTGCTCTTTACACTATGTTCACTTGTCCTTGGTGTTGTTCCGTGAGGTCAATACCACTTCATGACATGTTCACTGAAGGTGCTTAAGTGCGACATTTTTGGACAAGCTTTCTGAGTTAAGTCAATTATGAATTCAAAAGCTTTATTTTAGTTTACTATGGTCCACACATTTTGATGCCTTTTTGGTACAAGTAAACAAGTTTTTTTTATTAAAAAAGGTTAAGTTAATTTTGTACAACAGTTTTTATTTTATAAAGATTGCAGGATGGAAGGTAAAACATGTATTTTTGGAGATGTCTTAAGAAAATAAGAATTTGCTCCGTGAATTTACCGCCCTTCAATCGCAGGCCGTGTCTTCTGGTTCTACCTTTCAGTACAAGATAATAATAATAAATAATCCTTGCATTTGATATAGCGTTTTTCATGTCTTCCAGATGTCACAAAACGCTTCACAAAAAATACTGTAAAGTGAATTGACTATATATTTATGGGCAAAACGCGGCTGCCAATTGCACACAGCAGTGTCTCACAAACAGTCGTGGATTAAGTGACCAAATTATTATTTTTTATTTTAAGGATAATTGTCCCCGGGAAAAGCGATCCGCCAATCGACTAACAACCGGGTTCCTACTTACTGCTAGGTAAACAGAGGCGTGTGGAGTAAAGAAGCTCACCAAACATTTCGCCCTGCCGGGAATCAAACCCAGCTCTCTCGCTTGTGAGGTGAATGCTCTAACCACTAAGCTACAGGATTGCACGATAAAGCAGCCTATCATGGTCTACATTATCTAGTTCCTTTAGGATCTTAAAGACTGTAATCATATTGCCCAGCATCCTTCTCTTCAGCATGAACATGCCCAGTTTGCCTAGATGCTTCTCATAGTCCAGTCCTTCCATCCTCTCAATCATTTTGGTTGTCCTTCACTGTATCCTCACAATCGCTGCAATATCCTTTGTGGTGATCAGAACTGCAGACAGTATTCCAAGTGCGGTCACTCCAATGATTTATAAATTTGCAGAATTACTCGGTTCAGTATTGCTGTTTTTATACACCCCAGCATCTGATTTGCCTTACTCATTGCTACCGAGCACCGAGTCTTGTAGTTGCTTTTTAATCTAAGAATTGATGGCTACTTCTCTATTTTTAACTTGCAGTATGATTGACTGGTTGTCATGGCCATTAGCCCAAAATATAGATAAGTGGATTGTTGGCTTACTGAAAGGTTTGGCTGCTGTGAAGAAGTTCGCTATTTTGATTGATGTGACACTTTCAAGAATTCAACAGGTCAGTGCTGACAACTGTGGATCAGTTTTGCCATTGCTGTGAATCTAAAGCCATGTGTGATCAATTGATGATAATTTTACATTATTATAGTTTTAAACAAAATGTAAAACAAATTAAACACAGCTTTAAATTAACGTTAAACTGACAAAATATGCAATTATTTGTCCTGAAGAATCATGAAGCAATATGCACATCAAGTTCAGACCTAGAAAATTATTTCAGAATAAATTAGGATTTTCTTTTAAATTACTTTTAATAAATAAGGAGGACAGCATCAGTGTGCAATGAGTGAATTAACACCAACTAACTCTTTCAACTTCTCCGTTGGCAAATTCTAACCTGTCTGTAGAATGCATGTGCCTCCTATTTTAATCTTGTATGCAAGATCTTTATCCATATTAGCTTTGTATGCCATTAATCATCCCAGCGTATAATCTGAAGCTCTTCATAATATTTCAGTTACTTCCTCTGATTCTGCACTTCTCCCAAGCTTGGTGTCAGGTGTAAATTTAACTATCTGTTCCAAATCGGCAATTCATTTATCTATAATTGGAGTCAAAAGAGATCTTCCTATGGGAAGCACGATTCTGAAGCACGACTTTCAAAACTCTTCCCCCATTTCAAACGTAGTACGCTTACAAGTATCCTCTATTTGTTTTCCATTATTTGCTTACCCAACCACATCTATGTCTTATCGTTGATAATTGACACAAAAGCGTTCCATTTTCTAGTCCTAATGATTGGTCCTCCTTTGTAAATACCAAACATTGGGGGGAAAATTGAGGGGTGGGGGGGTGGGGAAGGAAAGAATTTATGCTGTGAGAACTTGTAACAAGATAGGAATAGAATGGAGGAGCCTTGGGGAAGAGTAGTGTTGCTCTTTGTATATTTTATTTATGTTAATTACAGGATGTCATGTTTCACAAGAGGAAATCATTTTATTTTACTGCTCTGAGGTAAAATCAATGAAAACTTTAAAGGCAACAAATTCCTTGTGACTGTGTACACAAACCTTTGTATTTTGCAGGTATTTTCAAGATTGTTTTATCCAGTTACAAGACCTGCAGGACTTGTTGTATTGAAGTACATGCTGCTAAATTTCCAACACTCGCCAGAAGCTTTTCATTTGGTATGCATCATGTATCTTTAAGATAGGTAGAGGGAGGATATCTTTCTACCATTTTCTTTAACTCTTTAAACTATGGAAAGTTGTCATTTTGAGTCTCCTTAAAACAACAGAAAAATGAAACCTGTTATTTCAGTATCTCCGCTCTTCATGTTATACTCCTGGATATAGTCTTACTCAACTCTTTAGCTTTTCATATCTGCTCCTTTACTCGTTAAGGTATTCAGAGGGTTGATTTTCATACTATGATCAAATGCAGAGCACCCATCGATATTTTATACCTGAACCTATTTGTATAGCGTTGAGAAGCCTTAAGCGAATGACAGTCCTATTAAAATGTTCAGTTATGATCTACCCTCATAATGTTCTTGGAAGCAATGTCCTTGTTCCCTCCAAACCTGTGCTTATGGTTTGTAGCTTTTGTATATATAGGATGGGGCAGGAGGAGGGAAGGGAATTAGAGAATTTTTTGTATTGCAATTTTTTGGGCCACATGCTAAGTTACCAAACTTACTAGGAAATAGATATTCTTACACAAACCAAGCGCTAGACTAAAGTAAGAAGCTAACCTTAATTGAAAACAAGAGCAAGGAGTTAACGTTCAATTTGTGCATGGGTGCATTTGGGAATACTGCACCTAGCTTTGGGTACCCCATTATTGAAAGGAGTTCAAAGCCATGGAGAGTGGCAATTTGTTTCCATACCATCTTCCTCAGTGTTGCCAGATATTTGGAGTGGTGGCAGAAGTATCGAGGGAGAAAAATTGGTGAAAGGTTCTGGGAGGTATCTCACTTTTAATGTCATTTGAGGGTTGGTCTCCTTGGTGAATCGACAAAGAATTAATGATGACTATTGAGATGTTTGTAGACTGAAGTGCCTTGTTTTAGTACGAGTGTGGTGTGTGTGTGTGAGACCTGAACTAGTCGGGAGAAATTTACAATTATGAATAAATATCCTTTTCTTTGAGTTCATCAGTATTGGTCTATCAGTACAATTGAAGCAAAACAACCAAGAATTAAATGTATGTTCTTTACAAAGAGTGTGTATTAAAAAAAGTAAGCTTAACTTAAAAGTAGGCTGACTCGTACAATATTTTGATAATTTCTTGACTTGCTTGTGAAAATATAGTTATCCATAAAGTAAAATTCTATGTTGTAATATGCATTTTCTTGGTTACTGCACAGCTTGTCCCTCATCTTCCCAAGTTAGTGGTGTCACTATCTAAAGAGGAATCTGCCTCTGGAACGAGCTGCCTTAAAGAACTCACTGAATTGGTCCATTGCATGATCTTTCGTTTTTCAGGGTTCCCGGACCTCTATGAGCGTATCGTGGAGACACTAAAGGTGAATAACAGTGAAACATTTGAATTTTTGTTTGTTTTAACTTTGCTTTAATATTGGTACACCACAGAGTTTGTCTTTATGATGTACAATGTTATGTTTTTTTTAAAAAAGTGCATTTTGTTCACTCTCCCATTGCCTAAGGATATAGGCCTGAGCCTGATTTAACATGATTGATTCAAGTGCTATTCTCATTCCAACAGGAAATGTACTTCTGTAGGGTTTTTTCATTTGCATAACTAGAAGCACAGCTTTTGAAAAATATTAGTCTTAGATTTCAACTTGTGATTCTTGGATTTGAGTGCAGTGTACAGAGGAATCTCATAATGTGGACCTCTGGGGCCTATATCTTAGAGGTCACGTTGTACTTGCTGTGCAGAAGAAGCGGCATTAATATCGCTTCTTTCGCAAAATGACATTAGTAAGGCTTTCTGCACATGCACAGAGTGCAGGAAGTAGCACAGTTGGCAACCAATTGCATTATTGTTATTTTAATAAGAAAGTTTAGATATCCGAACATCGCTGCTGAACCTCATTGATTGTGCTGAATAATATGACACTTTAGGCTGCTAATAACCCTTGTTGTATTAAACTTAAAACATTTTTAACAAGCAGACATATTTTTGTGTGTGGGCAGCAACTGAAAATAGACAAATGTTTCTTTCAGGAGTGGCTCTGGTAACAACAGTGTATTAAGAGAAGTGTTGAGTTTGGGGATTTTTTTTAACATAACGGGTAAATGTATTAAACTGGATTTATATTCCTCTCCAAGCAAACAATTGTGTGTTTTCAGTTAGCTTGTTAATGTACAAAATAATCTGTCTTGCATTTCTTCCACAAGCCCTACCGTAGATACACAGTAGATTTTTTTTGTCAAAACCTGTGACTATACAAATCAGGTTAGAGGATTGAAGATCTTGCCTCTGTAAAAATCAAGCACAAAATCTTAACTCAGAAACAGAGTTTTATTTTAAATCAGAATGTTTCTGCCCTGTGTTAGTCATGATGTACCAGAAAAAAATACCAATACATTTTTAATATTATAATAATAATAATAATCCTTGCATTTGATATAGCGCTTTTCACGTCAGGAGGACGTCTCAAAGCGCTTCACAGAACAGACACTGTAAAGTGAATTGACTGTATATTTGTGGGCGAACGCGGCAGCCAATTGCGCACAGCAATGTCCCACAAACAGTCGTAGATTGAAAATGACCAATTTATTATTGTTTTGGGTTTTTGGAGGGATTATTATTAGGCGTGTGGAGTAAGGAAACTTGCCCAAGGTTTCGCCCTGCCTGGAATTGAACTCAGGTGTCTCGCTTGCAAGGCGAGTGCTCTAACCACTGAGCTACAGGACTCCCTGTATCCCTGTATTGTTAAGCAGCCTTGCATGTCATGATTTTGGTTAAATCGTATTACATAATTATATGGTACAGCTGAGCCAGTAAGATTTGTAGAACAAAATCGAAGGTTTCATTGTGAATGTCCTGCAAATGGTCTTTACAAGAACAATATACCGAATAAGGTGTACTCAGAGGCTATTTGTTCTCCAACTTGCTTCAGTCTTTGCTCCAATAATTCTGCTTCATTGACACTTTTTCACATACAGTCTATCATCCTCCTTGCAAGGAAATCGCTCTCCTCGTCAGCATTTCCATCTCGACCCTCCACAACCTCCAGATCATCTACATTCGCTCCTGAATTGCATTGGGACGTTCTCCCGACATGCCACTCTACCTTTCTGATCTGCAGAATTTCACATACCCTTCAGCCCAACAATCAACAATGGTGGATGAACTTTCAATCACTTTGACCCACTCTCAAACTTCCCTCTGTTGACACACAATTCTGGTGTAAATCGTCAGTGGATTCCCATAATTCTTATGTCAGGAGCAATTCTACCATGATGTTTCACCCCTCTCCATCTCTCCTCCTTGCACCCTCCCATTCTGTTTTCATATCCCATCTAATAACCTATTGATTGTTTCTTAAGCCATTCCCCTCCTAGCAACCTCCTTCCCTGCTCAGGCCCCTGCACTGATTTTGAAGCACCTTCAGAGGTTTCCTACTTCAAAGTTGCTAGATAATTGCAAGTTGTTAGTGTTCCATTGTAATTCAAATGCCGCTGGCCTGTAGTTGCAGACTAGATTAAATACAACTGATTATATAAAAATTGTAGCACTTTTTTAACAAATTAAAATGTTTTGATGTGCAGCTTTAAAACTAAGTATAATCTAATATAATGTTATTGTTCGCACTAGGATTTTCCTATTCCAAACGAGGAGAAAATAAAGCAGCTGCTCGAACAGAATACTTGGACCACTGAGAAAAATACATCGGTATTGTTTCATCCATCATCTTCTGAAAAGTCAATAACAGGAAGGACAGGGCTGGTCAATCTAGGCAACACCTGTTACATGAATAGTGTCATCCAGGCACTTTATATGGCTTATGAGTAGGTATCTAAAGTAATAATAATAATTCTTGCAATTGATATAGTGCCTTATTGTCTTTGAGAAGACTCAAAGCACATCACAGAATATACTGTAAAGTGAATTGACTATTTTATGGATAAAACGCAGCAGCTAATTGCGCACAGCAGTGTCCCACAAACAGCTGTGGATTGCAGTGACCAATTTTTTTCTAATTTGAAGGAATTATTACCCCTGGAAAAGCGATCCGCCAATTAACTAACAACTTGGGTTCCTACTTGCTGCTAGGTAAATGGAGACATGTGGAATAAGGAAACTTGCCAGCATTTCTCCCTGCCGAGAATCAAACCCAGGTCTCTTGCCTACGAGGCAAGCGCTCTAATCACTGAGCTACAGGACTCCACAGAGTTTAGTGCTAACATTCTGTCTAAAATATTATTTACTTTTGAGGTTGATTTTCTTCAGTAGAGGTTTACATATTATGGAATTAATATAATTTTTTTCTGGTTCCAAAGATATTTTTGGATTCTCTAGTAACACTGACGGCTTGATTCTCAAATATGTTGGCACTAAATATGCTGCTTCTAGACTTTTCTTATATGTGGCTTGATTATCCTAGAAGGGCGGTTGAGGCTGGAACACTAGACTTTTTATACTAAAAAAAACAGCTTGATGCTGTGATGGAAGGATGAGATGTGCTGAAGGCCCATCAAGTGAACTCATCTTATGAATGATGCAGTCTACAGAATTAAGGTCTCTATAGATAGCTCAGCTCTAAAGTATATGAGGATTTTCTACAGTGATGAAAGGCATTTAGAACATCTTCCGTGGAAACCTCCTGCCAATTAAATTTTTTAAAAAATAAGATCAGGTATAGGTTGTTGTATTCCAACAATCTAGCTTAATTTTCCAACAGCAACTTGCACTTATATAGCGCCGTCCATGCAGAGTAGCATCTCCAAGCGCTTAACAGTGGTGGAGCCTGACTCTGAGCTGGGGGGAGGTAGAAGTAAGCATGGTCGAAGAGGAAAGTTTTCAGGCGGGGCTTGGGAGAGAGGGTGCAAGGCAGAAGGATTGATGGAGTGTTCCAGAATTTTTGGGCGTAGTGGCTGAAAGCACGAACTCCGATGGTTGGCGGAGGGTGCGAGGGACGAGCAGGAGGCTGGTGCCAGTTGAGCGGAGGTGCCGGGTGGTGGATTGGGGAATGAGGAAGTCGGAGAGGTAGGGAGGTGTCGGAGTGTATGGATTTGAACATGAGTGTGAGGATCTTGAAGTCGAACCATTCGGTGATGAGGAGTCAGTGGAGTCTGGCCAGAACTGGTGAGATGTGGGCACAGAGTTTGGTCCGGGTCAGTATGCGGGCAGCAAAGTTTTGAATAAGTTGATGATCAGAGTCTAAAATCTTGCTCAGTAACTGATCATAGTTTTGCATTCTCTGTGAATGGAAAATCTGCAGTTCAGGTTTACGAAAGGAAATTTGGTCTTTTTGTTTGATTCTTTAAATTATTGTAAGATCATAAAAGTAAGCATCTCAAGACATATAATTACATTCCTTTTCAAACTGTTTCTTACTGTTAAGATGATATCTTGTGGGCTTAGACTTTCATTGGTGCATTGAAGTTGCCAACTTTGTTGTTATTTGCTGATTGGATCTTTGATCATTTGAGATTGTCCCCAGAATTGTGGCCATTTTCATCTTTCTTAAGAGATGTGCAGATGTTTTCCAGCATCTTATTAGTTGTCAAATTTAAATGCATGGATATAATTGGCAGAGCTCCATCTTATGATCTGATTTGTCCAATTAATGAAGTAGTTGATTTTTAAAAAGGTATCATAACAAACCATTTATTGCCACATGTTAGTACAATGGGATATCTTCAGCATAAGAACAAATTATTCAAAATCCTAAAAAAATATTTTAAGTAACCTGAAATTAACTATCATGACAGCAAGGTAGAATTTGCTCTTTCAAAAGCAAAATATGTTTTGTAGATGTTTTCTGCCTCATGACTTCAAAAGCATTTCACAAAGGATAATTCAATACTTCCAAATTACAATTTTGTTTTAAAAACAGTCAGACAGTAAACTTTATTCTTCACATTGTTTACAGTTATTCCCCATTTTTGTAGTTTACTCAATTAATTAGATCTTTCCACTCCCCATCTGAAAGGAAACATTTAAGCCTATGAAAGAAAATCCTTACATATATAGCCCAGCTGATCTTAGAACTCATATTCTACTAACCAGTGTTGTGTGTTTTGCGCCAGTCCTTTAACATTTATTGTTTGATCAAAAAGCAATTTTTAAAAAAAATCTCTAAATCAAGCCTGCTCAAAAGATGAATCGATCATTTATTGGAATGAATGAAAAGTACCATTTATTAAGTAACAGGTGTAGATCAGGAAGGCGCTACAATATCCAGAGAAGTAGAGGGAGAAAAAAAGTACGTTAGAGAGCACTGAACTTGACCTCTAGAAAATAGGAGGCTTTAAATCAATAAAATGGAAGTTTTCAAGATTATGAAGAAAGTTAACGACGTTGGTCCATGCAATTTGTTTATTAGGTGAGAGGTTTAAGTATTTTAAAAGGAAAAAAGATGAGAGAGTGGGTGGATCTTTAACTCTTAAGATAATACCATTGTGGAATAAGTTGTTAGGGTGGATTATCGAAGCAAATTATATTACTGGGCTCAAGAGCAAATTAAATGTATGTTTATAGAGAGATAAGTAATTTAGGAATATGACAAAAACTTATTTAAAAAAATGGACTTGAGCGCTCCAGGACGCTACCCCGCGTGAAGGGTGTTATATAAATGCAAATTGTCGTTGAGTCACTTTAGCAATCCTATTATTTTTATCACAATGAGGCAAACCTGTTTAGCTTGAAGAGACAATCTTTTATGTTCATAAGTATGTTTTTNGTGTCAGGAAATGACATTATGAGGCATTGAAGATAGAGGTTAATCAAAAACGATAATTGCTTTGGCATTCAGTATGTTGACAGTGGAAAGAAATTTATCCCATGCTAGCAGGGAAATGGATTTTCTAGACTTGACCAGTACAATTAGCCCCTATCCCCCCAAATTGCCTGCCTTTCTAATTTATGAAACAGATTTTTATGTCCTTTTCTAGCTTCAGACGTGCAGTAATACTACTGAAGGAAATTGATTCACAACCAATAATGCTGAAACTACAGTGGCTGTTTGTCTTTCTCGAACACAGTAAGGTATGGAAATAAATTTGTGTAAACTTCCCTTGTACAGTTATGTTTTTGTATTGTTTGTTTGTATGTATGATTTGTTTGTATGGTGCAGAGTTGTGATCAATACCTATGACTATACATTCAAATTTTACAAAAGGTGCATTAAAGAAGGGTTCAAAACCTTTGAAACCTTTGTATTTGCAAAAAAACACATAGAAATGAAAACCATAGGAATAAAATACATCTGGCCAGGGAGAGGAGGAAGTTGTCCAGTCATGTCTAAGTTACTAGTTTATCTGATTGATATGAGAAGTATGGATATATTGGAATACCCTTTTAAAACTGCTACAGAATAATAACTGAGTTTTTTTAAAAAAATACATTTGTCACTGGGCAGATAGATTTTACAACCTGGTATATAAACTCACTTAGTATTATATTTAATTGAATTAGCAAATACTTGGTAGATATTTGCGGTAGAGAGAAACTGAAACAATGCAAAAAACATTCCTTTCTTTATTGGCCTTTTTTCGTATGTCTGACTGCCTCCATTGAGAATAACAAGTCTGTGTTGCAGGGCTTGAATATGAGAAAAAGGATCACATAGACCAAAGCTTTCTTAGTATTTTTTTTTCTCTCTGTCCAATTGCTTATTTACCGCTAAAATAATATACTTTTTTGACTTCCTTTCTCTCTTCCTAAAAAAAACATTAAACTTCAAATACAAGCTTCTAAGAGTGTTTGTGAACTAGCTGGCCATAGTTGTTTGAAGTATGCTATTGTTCCAGGTTATAGCCTATAGACAAGCTATCTAAATGATTGGAATCCATTCTCATTGAAGATTTTTCTAAAAACCTGACTCTTCTCATTTATTTTAGAGACCAGCCATCTCACCTGATAGCTTCTTGAAAGTTTCATCTCCTCCATGGTTTAACCCAGGAACCCAACAGGACTGTTCCGAGTACTTAAAACATTTGTTGGATAGGTAAGTTAAATATTCTATTCAATATAAGTTTGTTTTTAAATCAGCAATTATGGATAATCATTTTTTTCAATTTCTGAAGTTAACAATGGGATGAATTGCTATCTTTCTGTGTTGAAAAATTCTCATTCTGTCTACTCAAATCAAACGGATTAGAATTAAAATTGTATACTTTCCAGAGGAATAATTTTGGCTTCACAAATGTTGCTCTTTGAAAAGATGAGGAACCATCCATAGTAACCTTGAAACTTGTCATTATATTAAAACTAATACAAAAACAAACTTATAATGGAGCAAGTGTGAATATGAAGACCTTGAAATTGATCCTTTGAGATGGGAGGTAGTGGAGTCTGGAGAAGATGGGCTGGTGAGCTCATGTCTTGAGGGGAAAAGGAAAAATTAAAAAAAAGTCAGCAATTGTGCTTGCTTTTTATAAGAAAATGTGTACATAGATGATATTAAGGGGAATTCATTGATGGTGTTGACATTTCCTCCCGCCATTCTTACCTATAAATAGTTAATTTTCTTTTAAAGGTCACATGAAGAAGAAAAGAGAGTGATTTTCCACAAGCTGAAATGTTCAGGCAGTGAAATTTGTATGGAAGATGATCAAGATTCAGAAAAGACATTAATAGAAAGAATGTTTGGTGGGAAGATGGTAACCAGGATCTATTGCCTTTGCTGCCGCAATGTTTCCTTTCGCGAGGAAGCTTTCACAGATCTGTCTCTTGCCTTTCCACCACTGGACAGAGTTCTGCATAGATTTGGCAGTTCAAATGATCCTGCTATTTCAGTGGAAATTGTAGGCTCAGATAATTCAATTTCCCACTTAAAACCACAGAAGGCCACTAAGTCTGGAGGAAAACCGAAGCAAACAAAATCTAGAGACTCTTTTGTACGAGTAATGCCAATTGAAATAATAGGTTCCAATGGAAAAGCAAAGAAGGAAGAACCTTCAGATTCTAAAGAGACAAAAAGGGATAATCTGTATCCATATAGCACAATACCGAAGAAAATTGAGTTTGCAATGGCTTCTGGGGAAAAAGCATGTGGTTCATCGAGTTCGAGATCGGTCTCTGACCTCATAAACTATTTTCTTTCACCAGAAAGGCTAACTGGTGACAACAGATACTACTGTGAAAAGTGTACCTCCTTGCAGGATGCTGAAAAAGTGGTGGAATTAACAAGGGGACCTCATTATCTCATCTTGACTTTGTTAAGGTTCTCCTTTGATTTAGTAGCAATGAAGCGAAAGAAAATTCTAGATAATGTATCTTTGCCTTTAGTTCTCAAGCTACCCATCAGAGTGACTGCAAAAAAGGACAAACAAATAGTCGATGCTGACACGCCGGGTCATCACATCAAAAAATTGAGACATTTTGCAGACAATGTCACATATTTGTCACTTACTTATGACCTCTGTTGCATAGTGGTGCATTCTGGCAACTCTTCAGATAGCGGACACTACTATTGCTATGCCAGAGATTGTGTAGAAGCTGAGTCTGGAATGGGTCCAGAAGTTAATTTGGAAAATGAAAGAAGATCAGAGAACCAGTGGTACTTGTACAATGACACAAGAGTTTCCTTTTCATCTTTTGAATCAGTCAGCAATGTTACAAATCACTTCCCCAAAGATACCGCTTATGTACTGTTCTACAGACAGCGAGCAGGAAAACATACTTGCCTAGGCAATGAAAGTGTGTTGGATAACGTGAAAGTGCATAGAGAGACACCAAAACACACAGAGGTGATGGAAGCCATCTCTAAAGACGATATTAAGTATTTACAGGTATGCCCACAGTAATGTCCCACAAACAGTTGTAATGTTAATTACTAATACAATGGAGCAGAGGAGTTCTGTAGCATATTGGTTAGAGCACTCTCCTCTCAAGTGAGAAGACCTGGGTTTGATTCCCGGGCAGGGCAAAATGTTAGGCAAGTTTCCTTACTCCACGTGTCTCTATTTACCTACAGTAAGTAGGACCCCAGTTGCTAGTTGATTTCGGATTGCTTTTCCGGGGTTAATAAACCCTTCGGGAAAAAAAAAAGAATATGGTTACTTGATTAACGACTGTTTGTGGGACACTGCTGTATGCAATTGGCTGCTGTGTTTCTCCCACAAAATATACAGTCAATTCACTTTGCAGTACATTCTGTGAATTGCTTTGAGATTAGGAAAAGCGGTAAACAGTGAAGAGGATAGTAGCAGACTGCAAGAAGACATAGACTGGTAAAATGGGCAGACGTGGTAGATGAAGTTTAATGTGGATCAATGTGAAGTGATGCATTTTGGGAGGAAGAATGAGGAGAGGTAATATAATATAGATAGTAGAATCATAAAGGGGTGAAGGAACAGAGACCTGGGGGTTCATTATAGTAAATCTTTGAAGGTGGCAAGTCAGGTAGATAAAGCTGTTTAAAACGCATACAGGATAATAGGCTTTATAAATAGGGGCATAGAATACAAAAGTCAGGAAGTTATGATAAACCTTTATAAAACTGGCCTCAGCTAGAATACTGTGTTCAGTTCTGGGCACTGCACTTTAGGAAGGATGTCAAGGCATTAGAGAGGGTGCAAAAGGGATTTACCAGGATGGTACCAGGGATGAGGGACTTCAGTTATCGGGAGAGGCTAGAAAAGCTAGGATTATTCTCCTTGGAACAGAGAAGGTTAAGAGGAGACTTAATGGAAGTTTTCAAAATGATGAGGGCATTCAATAGGGTGAACAAGGAGAAACTATTTCCATTGGTGGGTGGGTTGATAACCCAAGGGCACTGATTTAAATAGTTGTTAAAAGAAACAGGAGAAATGTTTTCAACGACGAATTGTTCGGATCTAGAATGCATTTGCCTGAAAGGGTGGTGGAAGCCGATTTGATAACAACTTTTAAGAGAGAAGTAGATAATTATTTGGGGAGGACAAGTTTGCATGGCTATGGGGAAAGAGCGGGGAGTGGGATTGATTTAAATAGCTCTTTTCAAAGAGCCGGCACAGATCTGATGGGCCAAATGGCCTCCTATGCTGTATAATTCTACAATTCTATGAATCTATGATGTCTTGAAGATGTGATGCTGAAGTAATACATATAGATAGAATTGTGCATGGGAAATATATTGGACTATTTGTTTCAGTGACTTGACTGTTAACTATTGGAAATAGAAATTGCCTTCCTAAATCATTTAGCAAAGATGTTATCGGAATTGAATCACCTCAAAACTGAAAGTAGTTTTTAATTTGAGAATGTTTATGAGAATGTAATCTAGAAATGATGGATTTTTTTTCTTTCCAGGAACAAGAAATGGAAGCACGGAGAACATCCACAACGTCTATAACAACCCCAGTACAGTGGAGACGTTTTGATGATGATCAAGATGATGGTCCTTCTGGAAGTTGTGGTCCTGCTGCTGGAGGAGGAAGTGACTTTGGCTCATTTGAACATCTAGTTTTCTAGCTGCATTTAAAGGGTTTATTCTTTCACTTGAGTTTATGGTTTGCATAGTACATACTGCATGATTCCAAGTGTCCTTGAAGAGAAAAGGAATTCATCCTTTATACTTTAGGCAATCATTCTGAATAAGTATTTTGTTCTTATTAAGGGACTGTTGAGAAAATGAACATTTGCCGAATGTGTGGAATCAATTGAACAAAATTAAAGGATTATAATGGGAATAGATTCTAAACAAATTGATCATATCTGGTAGGTGCTGGGTTTATAAATAGTATATTACTCCTTATATATTAGATGCTTATACTATTATGTATCCCATAAGGTCGGTTTTCAAAGGGATATGTCACTTTAGATCTACTGTTGTCGGTCTGATGTTGGGTCTCCCAAGTGGTTCCTTAATTCCCATGTGACTTCTAAACTTATTTATATAAGACAGATCTTCCTGATTTTCTTGTTATTTTATTTATCTCTGCCTTTTCAATAAGATGCAAAGCAACAATTTGGTAACAGATTTTCAAACTGTCAAAAGACCTTAACTCATTTGTTTTAACTGCTCAGACATTTACTATTGTTTGACTGACATAAATATGTTAGTGATGACAGATTAACTTCAGATAACAATCAGAAAAAGCATAATCAGTGACAGTGCAGAAGATACCACCTTGTGCAGCAATGTGCCATACTGACTGGAAGCTTACACGTTAGTTAAATTCCTGGATTAAGAAAGGAAAAATACACCAAGTTTCCTTATCACAATCCAGACTTCCCGGCTGCAAGGTGGAATACAGATGATGACAGAATTGGGCTCTACTGTGGTACTTTTCACTCTGTTGCTATTCTTCCCTCACCCTCCCCCCCCCCCCCCCCCCACACACACACACACTCCTTTGCAGTCATTATTTCCTGAATTATGACACTTGAAAAAGGGAGACTCTCAGTGAATGTGTACTGGGCAGATCACTGAAAAGGATTGAAGTTTTCAGGAAGAGATTTAACAGGTGGAGAATGACCCAACTGTGTGCCTTCATAGGCTGTTGTGTGAACATTGTTAGTACAGTAATAAAAAATAAATTTTAACCTAATCAGTCATGCAAAAGTTACAACTACTAATTAACTGCCAATTATCTAATATCAACTAATTGTACACTTGTATGTCCTACGTATGTCCAAATGTTAGGGTCATGTTTGAAATAATGAAGTTGTAATGTTGGAATGGCCCTGAAAGCCTCAGCATTTGTGCACTTTATTAGCTCTTGTATATTTTTCTATAGTAATCCAGTCCTTCCAAGGATATAAAAAGAAACTGTTTGCAGTGAGTCTATTAAAAACAAGTTTTGTGATCAGTCAGGAGAGCTGGAATTAATGGGCTGTGAAAGGATTCTTGTCACAAACTTGGGCTCAGTATTTGTCACTGAGTTTCATCTAACTTCAGCTCTGAAGCCAAGCTCTACAGTTACATTACCCACAGAGGATTTTTGAAAAGTATTCTATTGTCTATTCAAAGACAAAATTTTAACTATTGATCAAAGCTGATCAAGTTAACTTGCATTAAATTTAAGAAAACGTCTAATTCAAAACCGTTGCATTTGATATAGTGCCTTTTCAAGGATTCACAGTCATTGTAGTAGTAGTAGTAGTAAAAGCAATAGTGTTTTTCACAGTTAGTGATTTTAACCCAGCAGTAGACGTTTTAGAGCAGCCGAGTGTCTTGACACGTGGAAATCCATCACCATACTTAACAGTATTCAAACCAGCAGAGTTCCATGTCAGCATATGAATTTTCCTGTGTCTGGAATGGAATGCACACTCCTCAGAAGGTTGCACCCTTCTTACCTAATTCCAGAGAATATTAAGAGCGGTTTGGCAAGAGCCAAGGTTTGGGGACCCCAGAGTGTTTTTTGGGGGTACCGCTAAAGCCATATTGCTTGCCATTGAATGCACTGTGACAAGGTCACAAGATTGATCTAGAACAAGGCCCTTCTGGCTATCTAATTTCATCCCTCCAGAACACCTACTTGATCATCTTCCCCCACCTCCCCTCACTATATAAAGCTATTTTTTAAGCACCCTGCTTGTCCACTTAGGACCTACCTATCCATTAGCTTGGGCTTGCAGGATTACTGTGAACTGAGTGGGATGAATTCCTATCCTCAATGAATGCCCCTCTAAATATCGCAAACGAGACAGGCTCGCTGGTTTATCATCAGCAGTACCCTGGAGTACTGCATTTCCACCTGGCCCAGAAACCGGTTACTGAGACCACCGCAACAGGTTGATTCAATTCCAACATTCTGTTGTCAAACATGTGACTTTGGAATCAGTTCATCTCCAAGGAGACAACAACACATTACATTTGTGTACTTTTCAAGTCAGGAGATGTCCCAATGTGCTGGACAGTTGGGGATTCACACCTGAGCTTGTGATTGGGATCAGGAGAAGTGGAGAGCAGGTAGGGTAGAGCTAGGAGGGTGACTGCAGGCATGGTCGAAGATAAGGGTCTGGAGACATGTTTTGAAGGAGGCAAGGGAGGAGACCCTGCTCGCCTTTACTCTTCCCTGGCCCCCAAAGGATCATCACCAGTTGGTCATTTGGCATCCATGAAGACCAGGTTTGAGCCCTCACCAGATGATATCAGGTATCCACCTATTGAGGGCTCAAACATGTTATTGTCAGTACTTACAAAGCTGACCAGCTTTTTTATTCCAACGTGCAGCAGATAAGGTAGCTTGTTTTTCTGCTTTTGATCCGAATAACTGTGCATTCAACCCTCAGATCATGCTTGTGAACATATGCAACCCAGCTGTTTGGTAATTGTCTAGCCCAAAACCATTAATGATAAAAGGGATTCCTAAAAGCAGCTACAGGTTGATGAAATCTGAATGAAAGGGATGAAAAACCATGAATACACTCTTTGCAGTTGTGTTTACCTATTAGCAGCTACTTCATAAAACGAGATTAGTTTCTGATCAACAGCAATGTCTTGGAGCATTGATGAATTAATTTTTTTTGCAACAATTTAACTTGATTCAATGTATATATTTGTTCTTCCAAAATAAAAATTACCTTTCATTTGTTCATATTAAACTCTGTCTGCTACCGCTCAGTCCATCTGTTGCTTTAGCCCAGATCTTCCTAAATGCATCCCATTTAATTGCTCACCATAGAGCAATAGAAAATGTTAAAACAATAAATTCTGTATTCTGTCATTTATATAATAATAATAAATAATCCTTGAATTTGATATAGCGCTTTTCACGTCTTCTAGACGTCTCAAAGTGCTTCACAGAATATACTGTAAAGCGAATTGACTGCATTTTTTGTCGGTGACATACGGCAGCCAATTGTGGAGAGCAGTGTCCCACAAACAGTCGTGGATTGAAGTAGCCAATTTTTTTTTCTTGAGGGATTATCATCAGGCATGTGGAGTAAGGAAACTTGCCCAAGGTTTTGCCCTGCCGGGAATCGAACCCAGGTCTCTCACTTGTGAAACGAGTGCTCTAACCACTGAGCTACAAATGAACAGCTGGAGACACAGAATAGATCTGTTGATGGAGCTTTTTCTATTTGTTATCACTTGCTACTTCCTAATGTTAAGACAGTTTTCAAACAATCCAGATAATTTCACGAGGTTAAAACTAATATAAGTCTCATGTGTGGAACTCTGCCTGTTTTCAACACAATTCAGATACTCTAGTGCATGTGGCCGAAGGTGCAATCAGAGATATCCACCACAACCCCTATGTATTGATAATAATAATAATAATAATAATAATCCTTGCATTTGATATAGCGCTTTTCACGTCGGGAGGACGTCCCAAAGCGCTTCACAGAACACACTGTAAAGTGAATTGACTGTATATTTGTGGGCGAACGCGGCAGCCAATTGCGCACAGCAATGTCCCACAAACAGTCGTAGATTGAAAATGACCAATTTATTATTGTTTTTTTTTTTTTTTTTGAGGGATTATTATTAGGCTCTGTGTGGAGTAAGGAAACTTGCCCAAGGTTTCGCCCTGCCTGGAATTGAACTCAGATCTCTCGCTTGCAAAGCGAGTGCTCTAACCACTGAGCTACAGGACTCCAAATCAACAATTGGAACTGTGATGTTCCATGTAATTCTAATCAATACTGTTGAGCTTTGCAGAACCATAATTTTGCATTTGGGGACATTTACCATCCTGTTCCACTGGGTGGCCCAGTGTTCAAGATGCTGTGTGCGTTCATAAAGTCCCAGGTGAGTTTGCCAGCAGCCCAATATTGTCCACAAACAGAAGCTGGATCTTGGAGCTGGAATTGTTCTTGTGGTGATGATGCTTTCGCAATGATGTTAAGAACATGAATTTGAGAATTTTGTACCAGAATCTCAGGTGGTGTATCAGGATAGAGTTTTTCACCTTGAAGGAATATTTACTTCCAGATTCAAAATCTCTTCCTCCAAATTTCTTTTCCCATGGGCATTTTTTCTTTCTATTGGTGTACAGATCTATAGATGGCAGTCGTCTCTGATACTCTGCCATTCACGTGGCTATTATTAATGTGCTTGAGTCTGGAAATTTAATTCTTGCAGGCTATTAACCATGTTGGAGGACAATGAATTATAGCCGAGTCAAATTGGGCTCTTTTGTGCATGTTGCAGTGGAATTCAGTGGATAGCTATTGGAAGCAGGCACTATAGTTGTTGTTTCCTTATTTTTTAGTGCTGAGGCAAATCTAGTGCACCGCTTGCTGCCTTGGCTGTTATCAGCTAAATCAGCACAGATCAGAATTTTAATCTGCAACCTGTTCTGTATTGCTAATCCTGCACTGGGATACTCCTCTACTCACCCTACCCACTAGGCCTTCAGAGAGCTATTTTCCAAAGCTATAACATCTAAACTCGTAACACCATTGTGCAACAGTTACCAGAGACATTTCTACAGGTTGTTTTGCCTGATTGGAAGCACAAGGTTCTGTTGAAAATTCTTTCAGTGGAGTCCTGTAGCGCAGCTGTTAGAGCACTCCCCTCGCAAGCGAGAGGATCTGGGTTCGATTCTCGGGCACTGCAAAAGAAGCCAGAGGCAAGTTTCCTTACTACACACACCTCTGTTTACCTAGCAGTAAGTAGAAACTTGGTTGTTAGACGATTGGCAGATCGCTTTTCCGGGGATAATAATCCCTTCAAAAAAATAATAATCACTTTGGTCACTCAATCCACGACTGTTTGTGGGATACTGCTGTGCGCAATTGGCTGTCACATTTCACCCACAAAATATAAAGTAAATTCATTTTACAATATATTCTGTGAAGCACTTTAGAGATGTTTTGAAGATATTATAAAGTGCTATATCAAATGCAAGGATTATTATTATTCACTTGCACATACCTCACAATCAGTATAGCAATGAATGATTTTTCAACTCAGGAAAAAACAGTCATGGTTGTTCAATATTCTTTATTTACATTTGTGGTATAATGCAGTAGTAACAAACCAGGATTATGTGCGATGAACCAATTGCAGTGGTAAACTAGAGGTCAACAGTGATGGACTTGTTTCACACAACATGCAATACCAGCATAAATAAATGTTCACGTAAGATCATTAATAAGAAGATTGAATACAAAATACAAAATAAATTAATGTAAATGGTCAACAATAAAGTAGAAGTCTCTTATTTTTTCAGATGGTTAAAGACTTACAATGTAGTACTTGGCAAGTAATGTGGCATTTCTTGTGTTTAGTTACACATTAAAAAAGTGAAATTTTGTTTTAACGACTTAGTCATTATAACCACACAGTAAATGCTGTGAAGCTCTTTGAGATGCCCTCCCATCCCTCTATATCAAATGTCAAATGGAAAGATTATTATTAGATGTGTCTGCGTTTGTCTTTCTAAATTGGGCACATCATTTCAAAGTTTTTATAATTTACAGCAAATGTAGAAAACTCAAAATGACCAGCTTGCTAAAACAAATTGGACAATTCTGAGCATGAACGAAATGCACAAAACTACATAAAATTTAGGAACACTTGTGCTCAAACTGGGCATCAAATTTGTATTTCCACAGGTTGGGTATCACAACTGCAATGCAACATCACAATACATTTTATAACTTTCTTCTTGGACAATGAAATAAATCAGAAATACTCAGTAAAATGGCCAAACCTAAGGCAAGTTTACTTTAAATTAGTAACACTCATTATACAATGAAACAAACAAGAATCTGCAAAAGTGTCTTTCTTCTCAGTACCCTAAAGAGAATGATTGATGAATTATTATACATATAGTACAAAAATGAATAACTTAAGAGTACAACTATACAGAGGAATCTTACAGTGACCTAAGAATGCCCCAAAGGCAATCCT